GGAGAAAATAGCTTATTTTTATTAGCTAGTATTTTTGTGCTCTTACTCTCGAATCCTGCTTTTTAATGATGTTGAATCCTCCAGAGCAAACTTAGATAGTTATTTTTTGGCAGAATAAACAATTATTTTTTGTAAGAACGTAATTAATTGGAAGTGTTTGGGAAAGTGGAAAAGGAAGGGCAAAGGGGTAAATAGAGAGGTGCAGTGGGGAAGGAGGAAAGGTACCCCGGATTTCCCGTATGGGAAGGTAATGATAATAACAGAAAGAGAAAAGTTTGTTTGAAAGCCAAACAGACATGTGACTCTCTTTTCCCTTTTTCTCTTGTCTCCTCTTTTAGTTTCCTTCCATTACTTCCTTCTTTCCTTCATCCCCACCCTTCCGAATAAATTGTCCATAACATTGTGCCTTTGTTTCACTCACATTATCTACATTTTTTTAATCATCTTCACATTGGGTCCCTTAACAGAATCAAATCAAACTTCACATATAAGTGACCATTACATCATATCTTAATTCAAAATATCATTATGATTTTTTTCTTTGACTTGCATACTCCTTTTTTACATTAGACTTTTCTTTATACTGAAAAAAATCAACTTATACTTAACATCCCAACAAGTTAGAGTTAATAATTTTGAGCACGTGTTCGTTTGAAAAAAAAAAACAGATCACATGGTTATTCTTGAGATTTCAATGAGTTTAGTTGAGCTTTGTGTTTCTCTCTCTCCCTCTGTTATTTTTTTTTTAAAATTTTTTGGGGTTGGGAGTGAAGACAGGAACATGATAAAGAATAACAAGAGACAGAATGTGTGCGTGTGTGTGTTGTATCTTTAATGCATGAGAAGTAAAAAGAGATAGAGAAAGAAATAGGCAGAGCAATAACGCCAACACAAAGTAGGGCAGCTCTTACACCTGCCAATGGTTTTTCCCCTTTTGACTGGCTTTCATAAAATCAACATTATTTTTGTTTTCTATTATTATCTTAGAACTCTACTATGTTTGGATAACTTGATTTTTATTTATACTTCCCACAAAAGAATAACAAAATATGGAGTTGAAAATCTCCCATGACTTAATGACACCAATTGTTCCTTCAAAAAAAAAAAAACAATCAATATGATATTTCATATTACCAATTTAATTTAGATTCAAGTCAAAACACTTCCTAATTAGTTGAAGCTCTCCCAACACAATTCTTTCCTATCTACAAAATTTGGACCATGCAACCTCCTTTTCCAACTATAATATTAGTTGTAAAGTATTACCAAATATTGGTGCAACTGATAAGAAATATTTACCGACTTAATTAAATGTTTTGAATTGGAGTTATAGGAATGCAACAATGTTTACTCTGGCTCCCATAAAACCTCCTTAATTACTAATGGATGTTGGATTTGGTGAAAAAGAACTGTACTTTATAAAATGATGAACCAATTTGAATCTTTACACCTAGTATTACACGATGCTTTGAATAAAATTATCTTCAATAAAATAATGCATATAAATAAGCCAAAAAAACCCGCTCACCTTGACGCGGGGCATGTACAAAACATTGAGTGCATTAAACAAGTTGTGAAAATTTCAACTGGTACACAGCAGGACGAAATAATGCTAATAAGTATTAAAGCACACACCGCGCAAGACTGTTATTGAAGGGCGCAAGAAAGTTGTAGAGAGAGATAGCGATGTGTTGAACAGAAGACGGGGAGAGATTGCAAGTGTGAGGTTGAAACAAAAGGCAGAGAAAGTAGAAAGCCGTAGTAGGAAATGGTTCAGCAGAAGCAACACAGCTGAGCTGAGATCAGATCTCACATTAACACAAAGAGAACTCACAAATTTACTCTCTACCACTTTCCCTCTGTTTCTTCACAAATTCCAACTTTGTTTTCCTCTTTGTTTGTTTTGTTTTTTTTTTTTTTTTCAAATTTTAAGGGCAGGCATGGATACGGGATCGAACCTGAAAGGCTGGAACTTAGTGCCACAGGTATAACTTGGTTCCATTAGATTTGAAGGTCATTGGTTCCTCTCTTCCTCTATATTGCTCTTCCACTTCCTTAAATCCTTTTCTTTTATTTAACATTTTTTAAAAAATAATTAATATAGGCCAGTGATCTTGTGACCTATTATCTCGGAGCTGCAACTCATTTGTTTGCACGGGAGGTTATGGACTCACTCATTCTCAAGCTTTGAAGCTTGCCCTTTGTAACGTAGAAAAAAAACAAAAATCTAATTTCATGTATCGTATGTCTGCACGTGGTTCTGGGTTTTAATCAATAATAAGTGAATGAACTTGATTTGCGATTTAACACTCTTATTTTTTGTTTATTTTTCTAGGTGTCATGATATAATTTTAATAATAATCTTTTTCCCTTAAAAATCAAAATTATTATTTTTTAAAATTACTACTGAATAGATTTTGAGATAGTTGTAACTTTGAATAAGTTCGTAGTATCATTTTCCTATGCATTTTATAGAGGCTCGTCTCATTTTCAATCTCATCCTAAAAGCATCTTTTTCATCTTCCTCAAGCGCCAAAGCCCAAACACCAAGATGGAGGAGGATGATCCACCTTCAATCTTAAAAAAAAAAAAAAAAACTTTTATTTCTTTAATCTTATTTATAAATTATTTTTATCATTTTTTATAAAAAATTTAAAAAAAATTAAAATTCATTAACTTCACCTATAAATTTAATAATTTTTTAACTTTAGTCATGTTAAATAAAACCATTTTAATAATATACTATCTCTTACCAATATTTAATAGAGGATGAAATGAGAAATTTGAATTAAAAATTTAATGAATTATTTATAAATAAGATAAAAAAATATTTATAAATAAGACGCTTTTAAGTTTTAAAATTTTTCAAAATGCTTCAATTAAATTGTTTTTAAATAAAAATGTGAAGGAAAAAGCAAAAGTGGCCGTTCCCTTTGTCGGTTCCTCTCTATGTTAACATGATGAAAAAGCTTTCTGAGCTTCTTATTTCCTTGTACAAGAAAAGGACAAATAAGCAAAAACCTTCTATATATATATATATATATATATGTTTGTATGTATATAAAATATGCCCCCAAATAAAAAAGGCTTTTATATGAAGCATCCTCATGATTTGCCTTTTGTATTATAAAAAGGCCTTTACTTTGCCAGTACTGCTTCGAAAATAATTGTCCGTGGGATTTTGTGGACTTGGTGTCAATGTGAGAAGAAGACAATGGCTCTGTTTATAGTAACTCCCTCCCAATCTCAAATTATAATATGTTTTTAAATAAAATTATATATATATTAATAAAATTTATTAAATATATTTTATAATTTTATTTTAAAAAAATAAAAATACAAATTGTTAAAAATATTTTTATTTAATACTTTATTTATAAAAAATATTAAAGAGAGAATATAAAAAAAATTAATATTTAACAATATCATTAATAAAATTTTATTTTTATTAAAATATTTATATTTTATGACATTAAGGTCTTATTAAAAATATTTTATAATTTAAGATGAAAATAGTATTTTTTTTTTATATTGAGGGTTATTCCTAATAGCCTTTGAAGTAGACTAGTTGGCATTGGCTGTCCCCTATTTTAATATCAACAATTGTAGTTGGATTATAATGCTCAAATATAACACAGTCAGGTAATTATATAAATAAATAAATAACTCAAAGTTAGTCACTTTATTTAAAAATTTAAGATATTTTTAATTAAATTTTATTTTTTAATAAAATAATTACCTACTTTTAAATTAATCCTATCTTTTATATTTATGTCATTTAAAATTAAATAAAAGTAAATTTAAAATTTTATATTTTTATATTTTTTATATTAATGTTGATAAGATTAATAAAAATATTGATAAAAAATAAATATAAATAAATGCAGACGTTGGAGGGTGGGAACATGAGGACCCAAAAGTCAATACCAAATTCCAACAACTGAGAAGTGAGGGCTCCTTTTTCTCTAGGGCAGCGAGCATGCGGCGTTAAAGCATGCCTCCAGATACACACTTTTCTATTCTTATCATTATCATTATCATTATTTTAAACCCCTCTTTTTTCCCCTTTTACCCCTTTTCTTTTTCTTTGGATAAATATAAACCAAAATTAAAAATTAAAAGGGTGATTTTGTTATGATGAGACCTCGTTGCATGGATGTTTTTTGCATCCCTGCCTTCTGCTGCGGGTTTGTGTGTGTGTTTTTTAATAGAATTACATTTAGATTCCATGCGTCTTAAAATATCATAAAATTTGTTAAAATTGAGTATTGGCAGCTTGAGTATTCATAATTTGAATATTGTTAATTTATTATATTAAATTTATCAATGAACTTTATAATACGTTTGAGTGTCGGGTTGAATATAAATATAATTCTCCTATTTTTCTTCTTCACCATCTCTTATCTTTATTTCATTTGTCTGCTATTATGAGTCTTCAAAGTGCCCATCATCAAGTCGTGGCCACGTCAGATTATTTTGATCCACACGAAACTAGACAAGTTTTTAATTATTATTATCATTATTATATAAGTTTTACATTTAAGTAAAATATCATAGAAACGTTTTCAAAATATCAATATTAGATTTTGTTAACCCTCAAATGGAAGTGAAGTCACGCAACAGATAAGTGGTCATGAATTACGATCACTTTAACAGCTATCCAGCAGAATTCTGATCAGTCTCCTTGAAATAAAAATATTTAGCCGGAATATTCAAGTGACACAATCATTGATAAAATGATGTGTAGCAATGTTAAAATAGCAAAATAAGTGTGATAACAAATTGTGAGAAATTGAGCATTGCATATTGAGATCAACCCGCACAAGTTTCTCTTTCCTTATGAATGATATGTGCTGATGAATTTCATTGTCTTATTTATTATTCGTGCTGCTTCTTTCACATACTCAGAACAAAAATTCATCAACATCTTATTCTTATTTGGAAGGCCAAGGCTGCAATAAGCTGTTCTTTAAAACAGAAATCAACCTGAATGCATACCATCAACAAAATTTTCTGATACTATTTAGTAATAACCAATACAGTAACAATGATACAACATATCTCAGAAGTTCATGCCGAGTAACAGCTTCCTCACAATCATATCAAAAAATAGTCATCTTCTGCTTGAAAGGCTCATCATTGCCCCAAGGAAAAAGTGGAATTTCACTTTGGCTACATATAATACAACAGTGAATGATGTCAATGCTCATGAACTGACTTTTGTGACTTTGTTTTACCAAATGGTCATGAACTAACAAACCAAATAATGTTGAGGCAAATCATACGGCTGTTATTATAGCAATGCAAGCAGGTGAAGTTCCCTTTTTGGTCCCCATTGTAATATAAGTTCTCTTCCGTTTTGAGCCCCAGCCACAGCAAAGGTTCACCTTGTCAATCTTCTTTTTGGTCCCTAGAAAGCCTTGACAGTTTGGGGCACCACAGTGGCACTTTACCTCTGGTCCAAATTGCACAAATCTATGCAGCAGAAAAAAGACCAAATCATATATTATTACTATGGCTTCACTGGCAATAGATCGCGCTGTGGAGTGAAAAATCATACGTTAAAATTTACATGTTCCATAGATTCAGAATTCAGAAATTACTTTCAAAAGTAGGCGATGTGATGGATCCTACTCTTAAATTTAGGACTCTCTAAAACTCGGAATACGAATTTTATGGATGAAACGACGGACAGTAAAGGCCACTTTCTATCTGAAGATACACATTTATCCAACTATAAAAATACAGAGAAGAATGTAAATTTTCATTCTTGCCAATTTTGGTTATGGGAATATTGATATAAGGCACGTCCTTGCAGCTATTCAAGTATATTACTAAGTACCAAGCAGCAAAAACTCCCCAAGAAAAGGACCTGTAATCGTATGTTAACGGTTCTCCGACTTCGATTGAGCGAGCAGCAAAGACACCGACGCGTGTTTCACCATCAACTTGCCTGGAATAAACCACAAGAATTTAGAGAGAAACAGAGCATGGACATTGAAACTGAAGTTATAGTTACATATTTTAAGAAACAGCGAAGGTAGCAAGATCAGATGGTTGTTAAACATGCACATGATATGTTTACTGTTTGATTAAATGAAGGAGAAAGTTACTCGGCCAAAAATATACAAGGTTTTATAATATTCCAGTTCCCAACAGAAGTTAAATTCTGACATCAAAGAACCTACATGTTAGACAATCCCCGAACAGAGAAAAACATTAAGGGAGGAAGTTTGCGAAATTTACCACTTCTCCAAAACACAGTTGGGATCACAACTATGGTTTAAGAAGCGTGATGTATTTCCTTTGAAAGTTGCATCTATTGTGAAATCTTTCCGGATCTCACACATATAAAAATTTTGTTCACCTTTATGTTTCATGTCCCACAGCCTTTTTTCACATAAAGCATCATCTATTACTGCAGAAGAAAGAGCGGAGTTAGGGAAAGATATTTAAAGATTCAAGCCAACTACAGTATAATATAAGCTTGTATATTACATGGCTTAACAGCAGCGTTTAGAGAATTGGCACTTTTAGCCTTCCATGAGAAAATGAATGTAAATTACGGAACAAAAAGTGGAGATAACATAGACTTTTCACGATATTGGCTCTTCAAAAGTATGAGCTACCTTCTCCAATATATTCAATTATAAATTCGCCTTTATTGATGATTTCAGCGGCCTCTACTCCCCAGCCACAAAGTTCAGTCTGGGAAAGAAAAAGAAAGCACATATGAAAGCAAACCACGAGTATACAAATATTAGATTAGAGGAAGCAATATAGTCCTAACATGCTACATCCGGAAAATTTCTCACCTTGACAATCTTGATCTTTTTCTCCTTGCGAAATGGCCGATTATTGCAATTTTCTGAGCAGCGGCAAGCCTTAGAGCAGCTTATGCATTGAACTCTGAAAAAGGATGAATTAGTTTCTTAATATAAACGCCAGCAGAAAAGCTAGAAGTAGATGAAACCGCTTAGGAACTGTTAAGTAACAAGATAGCAGATATATTCTTGCAGTCCAGACAAACAATATTTCTTAATAAAACGTCATTAACTCAAGTAGAGTACAGAATGTCGTTATCCATACTCTTCATGCTTCGGGATCACCACTATTGCAATTGTCGAGCATAATTAGAAGGCATGCATTCGTTGATCTATATCTGTAACTTCTAAAGAAAAATAATACTAGAAGACGAGTTGCATTCACCTGCAAACGCAATCATCAGAACACGTAGAATTAGAAGTGCAACTGGTGCACCCTGCGCCATCATCTGAATCACTGCGCTTCTTCTTTTTTTTGACACAATCACTGCGCTTCTTCTTGACGAGGTATATATCTGATATCAACGTTAAGGCTAACAAATAACAGGATGGTCATAAATGTCATCGAATATGATAACACCAGAGTAGTTGGAACGCCTGATAATCCCCCTAAGAACGAAAATCAAATTATCGAATTACTAACATTATAGCCGAATGCAGAGACGAGCTTGTTTAATCTTCACTAATACTCTTATGTTACTGTCTTCACCAAAACTAACAAAAGGAGAGATATAGGATACTGCGTCTTATGTGTACATATGGAGGGGGTTCAAGTTTACTCTCCATGTCTTTCCACGTGAAATCAATCTTGAACTCCTCATTGACATAAGGAAGAGGCAAACGGCAAAACACTTCCTGGATAAAGACAGGATGAACAAGTTAGCCAAACATATTAAACCCAATGTCTTCGTTTTTATTCTATCGATTTCTAGGAGGCAAATATTCACGGGTAACAAAAATTTATTATATAACGAAGGCTCTAAAATTTGTGGGAGGTTAATGATATAATCCCTTCTTTTCTAAAACATAGCAGTTGTTGTCATCTGATACTAGACATTCCAAAATGCCAAAGATGTCTTGGAATATCATCGTCACTGGAAAAGTCAATACATTGATCAAAATATAAATATAGAACAGCATTTATATTATACGTAAACCTGACCTCCATGTCACTTGTTGAAGCTTCATGCTGCTCATCCAACAAATACAACAGCCCTGTGAGCCAGCCTAATCAATGAAAATTGAAAATACCAATAAAAAAACAACTTAGAAAGGGAAAAAAACCTAGGGAGATATAGCCGAAAATCTGTCAACCAATACGGTTACACTCAACCCCCCATGTAATTAAGTATTTACCAGAAGTGACAATCTCTGAGTTTAAACACATCATTAGTCTAACAAATCGAGGTGTTTAATCACTATTATTTCTCAAAATAATAAGACATCCATAACTGTGAAAATATCTTCAAGCAATATAGAGTGCTAAAAAGCTACCACGAAAACCATACAATGGAGCCATGGGCGCATGTATCAGGGAATAACTAGTAAGTGGAAAAAAAAGGTTCTGGTGAAAAGAAAAAATTGACCTTTCTATCCAACCGCCAATCAGTAGGATGCCTCCAACAAACAGCTCGTCCAGGATGATCCTTTGACAGCATTACAGCATCTGGCCACGGTGCGCATTTAGCATGAAACGCCATTGTGCACCGCTCACACCGCAAGTGTAATTTTTGTTTGCAAATAAAGCAAGCCTGTCCGTTGAATGATATTACATGAGCACATAATAGAACAAAAAAGCAACAAAAGAACAGTATTTCCAATATAAAATTTATAGATGTGGATAAATTTAATTGAATCGTTATGATGAGTTACAACTCTAGCAGTTGGATGCATTCGCCTGCGATGTCGCAACCCCTCAACCCACCCAAATACACATATAATTGTGTATAACTCGGAAGCCATTTATAAGGAATTGGTTTTCCAAGTAAGCTCCTTTGCGATCTCATTCATTGCCTGCATTCCTGAAGAATGAGACGGCTCCATTTTACTCAAGATCATCAGACGCCACAAACTAAGGGAGAAGAGTGGGCATAGTTAATAATTAATAGCATGTGATGCACTCGTAGCACGGAGGGCGCCAAAATGGCAAGCATTTAGCGCTTGACAAGCTATATGAAAATCTAGCCTGCAACTAAAAAAACTTAAAAAATATCATTGCTGATGACTAATTTACGTAGAAAACCTAATTCACGTTAAAAATAACCATAATGACATTAAAATCATCCATAAATCATCGCATCAAGTACTTAAATAATAAAACAAATCTATGTTTTACAATTTTTTTATAACATTTACCCTTGCTTGAGACTCCCAATTAATGCATATAGATCTTGGGCTGAGTTCATTTAATTCCTAATTGCTCATGAAACGCAGTCCTAATGTGAAGCATTTTAGAGGTACCAAAAAGTGACTTCATGTGCCCATAATAGTCTCCCATTAGAGCAGTGTATCATGGAAATGGACATCGCTGCCTATAACAAAAGAGATTATGTTAAATTAACCAAAATCTTACATGATGTGGGCACTTGAATTTTTTGGGATTTGAGATTCCACCAGCTTCTTTTGCACATTCCACATGGTAAACTCTTTCACAGCCTCGGACAGAACATATAACCTCCTTCCCGGGGTAGACAAAATAATGGCAATAAAAACATTCAGCCTGAATCCAAATGCATCTAAAAAAACATCAGTGTGAAGCAGCTATTTGATGGCACATAACATATACTAGACTACTTCTGGAATCATGAAAGGAATTGAGTTAAAGCTTCGTTTTGAGGTGCATAAATACAATTATGCCAACATGCTACATATGCCGCTCATAGATGCATGGCTCATTAAGAGTATTAGCCAGCCAGGTTATCCAGATCGATCATCAAATAAGATATTAGGTAGTAAATTCGCAATTTAATACGCGATTTCCTAATGCTACACCGTAGACTTTTGAGTCTCCATCAATCAACTTCAGTTTTTCAGCACTAATTAGCAAGAAAGTGTATCGCATTAAAAAGACAATTTCCACAATGCAACATTTTTTTTATTCCATATTCTTCCCAGCACCAAAACAAGAGAAGAGGCCAAAGAAAAATAGAATTAAATAAAACAAGCAATACCATCTTCGGAGCACCGACAAGAAACGGAAGAGTGCAGCTGAGTCTGCAAAACCCGGAATCTATTTTCTTCTCAGACCAATCTTTCACGTGATCTTCTGAACCTTTGTCAATGGCTGCCTTATTGCCCCGATCCAAATAACTACGGCTCCGCTTTGAAACCCTGAATTCATTTCCACTCTGGGCCTCGTCCTGCAGAAGAACCGGGAATAGAAGAGTGTGGTTGGAAATGTAACAATTACCAAGGGTTTTAACTGGGACTGTGAACAGTGAACTGGTGAGATCAGATGGCTCCGCAGGGACATTCAGATTAGGGCAGTGAGGGAGCTCAAGAGCTTCTGAGAGCGATAAGTTTCCTAAATCTGGCATTATGAGAAGATCAAGAACCCTAGAATCTTGCAGGAACAAGGATATTCAGACATGGAGACAAAGATTGGGATTTGAGGATGAGGGAAGAAGAAATAAGCGGGAAAGCATGACTTTTTACAATTGAAGACGGGTGTGCCCATGAAATTACTTAAGGGTCCCTGGGCGCCATTTGCTAAATTACGCTGAAATTATTGGGGCGCGGAATTTGAATTTTGGGGCGCCACGTCGTTGAGTTAGCTAAAATTGCCCCCCCAAAAAAAAAAAAACGTTGGAAAATCATAGCTTAACAAAGTTAACCTCGCTCACGTGTAATTTATATTCTCTTTGCTTTAAATTATAAAATATTTTTAAATAAAATTTTATATATTAATAAATTTTATTAAATATACTTAATAACATTATCTTTTTAAAATAAAAAATATAAACTTTTAAAAATATTCATAATTAAATATATTAAAAAAAAGAGATAAGGATTAAATATAGAAAGAAAAAAGGTAATATTAAAATTAATATATTTAATGAAAATTTAATCTATTTAAAATGTCTTATATTTTGAAATAAAAATTAATTATAGAAGGAAGAAGGGTAATATTGAAATTGATATAATTAATGAAATTTTAATATACTCAAAATGTCTTATGTTTTAAAATAAAAAAATTCTTTTAAAAGTGCTTTATAATTTGAAGCGAAGAGAGTATATAAATATATATATATATATATGTGTGTGTGTGTGTGTGTGCTAATACACGAGTGCGCATATGTATGTATACCTCTGTATGGGTTAAAGTTATTAACTAACCCGTAACTTATGGATTGGCTCATTTAATCAGTGGGTTAAATAATTTAGATTAAAGAAGCTCAATTTTATTTGATTTGTTTGTTTTGCCCAACCTAAACATATTTTTTCATGACAACTAATTTTTTTAACACAAAAAAAGTTTAAATGATTTGAATTTTGAAAACTTATCAAAATTAAAACATACATCCATACTTCAAGAGCACTTGAATATGTATTATAAATTATCTATTAATAAGGTCCTCATATTAGAAATAGAATTTGAGACAATGATCTTGCAAGTTATAGGTCAAATAATTACTAACTAAATTAACAATTGTTGGTTGTGACAACTTATTTAACTCAATTCATGTTTTTCAACTTTGCCAAAAACTAATGGGCCTGGTTGATTATTATAAAGTTATGGAATAAAGTATATTACAAAAATAAAGGTAAGAATAAAATGATTAAAATATGTAAAAGACATGGGTAAAATGTATTCATAAGGATCGGTGGTAATTTTTTTTTGGTAAAAAGAATAAAGAGTAATTTAATTTATGGAATCGGGAGTCGCGGTTTATGAGGTTTGTAAAAAGCGTGATGATTCCTACATTTGTGATATATAATATTAAGTTTTATCATGTTTATCGTAACAAGAAAGAATGATTTAATTCATTTTTATTTTAATTTTTATGCAATCTATTGTATTCTCATCTTTTCTTAACAGCCAAATGATAGCCTTAAGTTTTGAAAGAAACATTAAAATCTACTTTCTCTCTTTTATTGAACCAAGCATTGTATGAAACATTAGTATTTTTTTTATTGCATAGGTATAGGTGTTCCCTCGTGGTAGCAATCTTGTTAACTTTATATCTCAATTCATGTAATAAATAAGATTGAGTAAAATGATGTTTGCATACTTGAAGAGTCTATGATTGCTTAAGATACCTCGAGTATAGATAATTAATAAATAAATAAATAAATAAATAAATTATATTTTATTATCTCTTACTCAGTCAGTTAAGAGATAGGAAATAACTGACGGCTACAAGCTTGTAAATTAAGTATATGCCCGTTGGACTTATTTGTATAGTCTATCTATCACGATTCACACAAAATTATAAAAACCAATTTCTTTAGGCTTATTAATTAATGTAAATTTATAAATAAATATTTTAACAATCTCTCACTTGGATTGCATTAATTAAGCAAGTTGTATAAATAAACCACAAACAAAATTTAGAAAAATAAATTTTCACAAAATCACTAAATCCTATGAGAAAATAAGTGATATAATATCTCATAATCTGAATAGAACATAAAATTTTTATTTCAAACACATTTCAGTAAGATAGCAACATAAATCACCAATTCCTATAAGGAAACAAGTAACATGTATAGTGTATCACAATACAATCACTGAATCTTATGAGAATACAAATGATATAAATGCATATAATTGAACTAAACATAAAAATGGGTCTTCTAACCATACCTCGGTAAAGAGACTACCCAAAGTCATTGAATCCTATAAAGAAACTAGTAACATAAGGTGTATTATCACAAATCATTGAATTATATAGGAAACAACTGATATAAAGCACCATAATAACTCTGAACCGAAACTGAAACTCAATAGAGAAACAATATAACATCACTGAATCCTAAGAAAAAATAAGTAATACAAGATGCATAAATGTGAATCATTAAATTTTATAGGGAAACAAATGATATAAAGCATCATATTGTTTTTGAAACAAAAAATTGAGCATGATAGCAAAATGGCCTTAAACCATCAAATGTCCTTAAAAGGACACAACTTAAACTTCCACTAAACCAAGGCTATCTCAAAAGGATCAATAAAACTCGCATGGGTAAACATTTAGTCACATAAATGCATAAACATACATTCATCACAGAAGTGAACCAAATAAGTCTAAGTGTCTATAATATTTTTCAACAAGTTTTTAAGAGAAGCTGAAGATAGATAAAATATCACATTCATAGTTGGAGGAAACAACAAAATACATGTCTAATAATAATTTCCTCAACTATATAATCTAGTGAAAGGCTCTACAACAAGCAATGTATGTATGTATGTATGTTCCATATTTTAAATTGAGGTAGCTACAAGTGTCTATAATACAGTCATTTTTACAAGATAGCTCCTCTCTGTATTATGGAATAATAGGATGCATATTCTAAATCTTTATAATCACAAATTTAAAAGAGGATCAAATTTTTAACAACTAACATTAGATGTCGTGTACCTTTCGATGTAAAAGAATTTTTCAAAAGGATTATTCAATAAATTTCTTGCAATGATTTCACAAGTATTTACTAAGGTGTATTTGAAGTAAAATTTTGATCAAAGACCAATGCATATTTTAGCATCCTCAAAGTCATTCATAGCGAAAGCGTATGAAATTCTTTATCTGCAAATTTTAAAATGGTCTTCCTCAATATTAATTTTGAGAATGTGAAAACTTAAGCAACCTTACACCCCTTAAACAAGTGTCAAACTAGGAGCGTGCATTATATTTCTAAATACTCGATTAAAATAAGTTACCTGAGACAAATCAATAATGTCAATATATATTAAAATGGATAATAATCCTTGAAAAAAATATGTCAAACATAATATTTTTTTTATGTCAAGGTGGTATAACCATGGATACTTTGTCTCACTAATTTAATCACTAGCTAATAACTAGCTATTAGCATGGAGCATAAGAGGTAAAAGAGTGCTCTTCTCAAACATTTAACAAATACAAAAATTTTAAGTATTTCAAGTAAAATTATATGGAGCTAATAGCCTCATCAAACTTTAAATATCATTATTTAGAGACTTGCTTATTTTCAGAGATGATTTTAGATAGTTGCATATTAAATGTTCTTAATTAAATTTTATAAAACCATCTTATTAAGGTGTTTCAATTCCTTTACTTAATTCTCTATTCATTTGATATAATTATAAATGATTACTTTCAATTAGGTATTGCAGGTATATCAATTATATGGGAATGCTTGAATAAAATCAACTACTTAGTATATATTATAGGTTGTTTTATTTTAATAAGTGGATTCCTAATAGCCTTATCCTCATCAAATAAAGTTGATCAATAAACATGTTTAGGTAAAGGTGATGTTCTTAACAAGTAAGCCAGTGGTCTAGGCCTATAACTCTCACTGTTCATTTGAAAGTAAGATTTAAATTTGATTAACTAGACAGTAAGTAAAAAAATTGGCACCTTTCTTGATTTTATATGACACTAAACAATGAATTCCTTAATAAATTTTGAGATTAAACTCATACAATTGAATATCTCACTTATGATTTTTAGCTTAATGCAAATAATTTACATTATATTACTTTGGACACTAAATTATCAAACATCCAATTCAAATATGAATTAAAGACTTTATCAAAAAGATTGTAACAAAATGTATTTAATGTTACTATACCTATAGGGTATAAGAAATATCAAAGCGTTAAAACCCTTATTTGCAAAATTTGCTAAAATAAATGCCTAATTACCAACAATGGTAATCTTTGATTTACCAACATCATCCCTTAACAATATGGTATTTAGAAATAAATTCAAAATTTTTAAACATAAATTGCATTAACAATGACACATCTATGGGCTAAAATTCATTGTTAACATAATATCTTAAAATATAATTTTAAATAATGTACTACCATGATTTGATCCACTATAGGTGAGCACATAATCACTAAGTGGGAATGACTCGTGCAATATCATAGAAATATTTCACTAATATTCGTAAATGCCCTCAGCATGTGGATGGCAGTGGAAATTCCAAATAAAAAGGACAATAGTCTGGAAACTCCACTTAAATTAGCCTTAGCTTCTAAAGTTGTTACAAACTTAAAACATTTCACCCCTTAGATTAGAAGTTATTATGGGCCACTATTAATATTGTGTGATCCTTCGATCTCTCCTCTTTCTTACGTGAAGTAAGAAGATGTCAAGAATTCATAATTAGGTTGTAATAGTTCTATAAACTAAGAAATACTTTAAGATCAACTCTATACAAGTTCAAGACACACCTCTTTTAATACCAAATATCCCATTATGATTGAGTGCTATCAAGCATCACATAATATATCTCTAAAAAATGTTGTCCCTAATTCCTTTCTTTAATAGTGAATTCAATCACTGCCAAGGAGATCTGGTTGGACTTATACCAATATTTATTATAGGCCTTGTTAGAAGCATTGGATTCTAAAGAGAGATCCTCTGGTTTGGATTCTTTTAGAAGCAATTCATTCTCAAACTGGTAAGATACATTCTTAAGGACTTTCACAAATTATCATAATGAGTCCCATGATGAGTCTTTATAAAAAATAGTAGCTCAAAACAAAGATTAAAATTGCAAAATAAAATATGAAAAATAATAATTATGCAAGCATAACATAACTATAGTACAGAATTTTCAACAAGTGAATTTTAGTTATGCAACTATTATCATGCAGCAAGAAGTCTCATAAGGGGTTTTAACCAAAGATAGTTGCTAAAAAAATGAAAAAACTAAAATCACAAAACAAAATATGAAAAATGATAATTATGCGTGCATAACATAATTATAGTACAAAATTTGTAACAAGTGAATTTCAGTTATGCAACTATTACCATGTACCATAAAGGGTCTTAACAAAGATAGTTGCTTAAAAAACACAAAAACTAAAGTCGTAAAATAAAATATGGGAAATAATAAGTATGTGTGCATAACATAATTATAGTATATAGTTCCCAATAAGAGAATTTCAATCATACAACTATCATCATACACCAAGAAGGCTCTCACACCATATAGATTTAGCTCATATAAAAGTCCATACAAAAAATATATATTAAATATTTTCATATTTATGGGGTATAACAAATATCTAATACATTAAAAAGTGTTATTTGCCTATTCTTAAAGCCAACTATCAAATTACATTAATAATGTCACACTCATGAGGTTTGTCAATTACTAATGCTACAAGATCTTAAGTGTCACAAAATTACAAGTTTTATGACTTTAGGACAAAATAAAAAATAATTTTGAAAAGTCCTTTGGGTCTTTTAAGAATTAGAGAACAAATCTGGAACTTTAATGAAATTTTAAAAGGTATTATAGGGTAAATTGGAAATTTTGGAAGTTAAGGGACTAAATTTTAATTTTTAGAATTTTCCGTAGGTCACAAAGTAAATTCCATAAATCTTGGGCCAATAAGGTAGTTTTAATCTGGTGCATAAAAAGCAAATTATGAAAACTTTTTAAATCAGGCACTATGAAACTAGATCCCTATGACTTTGTTCCATATCCTCTCTAAGCCCCAAACTATAAGCAAGAGGGAATGGACGCTAATGGATGGATATCGCCGTCAACATACTAACAGCCATCTTCGATGGTCCTGCTGCTCTCTCTATTGGTAGCCATCTTTGATGAATCTGCAACATTTTTCGGTGACGCGAGCCAAATGCAACTGTGCAACTTGTGAGGCTAAGAGAGTGGCGTTGCAAACCATAATCTTTGGTGGTAATTTTTAGCGATTGATAGTGGCGAACTCGGTCATTATCGACCACAACAAAGGTCTTGCAGCGGCAACAACTCACAACAAAGAAGGTGAAAGTTCATTCAGAACTTGTTTTTGGTGAACTTCGATGGTGATGAGGTCAGGAAGGTAAAAAAAAGAAGAAATTCACAAAAAAAAACAAATTAATATACACAAAATATTTGAGGATCATACTCCATGGTTTCTAAAGAATCCATGATCACTTAAGATAACTCAACTACCTCAAGTATTGACAAATATACAACCCACTAAACTTTTGTAGTTTACAAAGAGTTTAGAGATAATAGAGTAAGTAAAAACTATCGTGTGTTTGTGGTTATCGACTAATTAACTTATATAGACCAGATTAAAAATTGCTATAATATATAAATTGATTAATTATATTTCATTATCTCAAACTTAGTTAATTAAAAGATAGGGAATAACTAACAGCTGCAGGGTTGTAGGTTCACTTGTGTGGTTTACCTATCATGGCCCACACAAGATCAACAACAACAACAACAACAAGCCTTATCCCACTAGATAAGGTTGACTACATGGATTATATGATATTATTGTGCTATATTATTTATCAAGCTATTAGAAATATTATTAATTAAAAGGTCATATTCAATAACCTTTAAAAGTATTTTCTTCGGTCTTTCTCTACTCTTTTTGACAGGGTTCAAAGTCATCTGTTTCACTCTTCACAGGTGCCTCTTGTGGTCTTCTTTGAACATATCTGAACCGCCTCAAACGATTTTCTATTATTTTTTTCTTAATAGGTACCATGCCCCCTTTTTCCTATATTCACTCATTTTGAATTTTTTCTTTACTTGTATATTCACGCATCTATTTCAACATTCTCATCTTTATTACTCCAATTTTATGTTGTTGCTATCCCATTAAAGCCCAACATTCACTACTATATAAAATTTCCAGTCTTATAAAAATTTGATAAAATTTTCCTTTAAGTTTATCATGTACCTTACAATCGCCAATAACTCCTTTAGCTTTTTTTTCAATTAAAGCACCCCGCTTGTATCCTATGTGCAATATTTCTATCAATTTCCTCATTTGTTGAATAATTGCTCCCAAATATTTAAACTTTTTCACTTGAGGTATGGTTTGATCATCTAATTTCATTTTCAAGTTACTACTCATTAACCCCTTGTCAAAATTACAATGTAAATATTCTATTTTAGTCATACTCAAGTAGAAACCTTTTGACTCGAATGTCTTCTTCCATAACTCAAGTTTACAATTAATCTTTTCTCTTGTCTCTGTAATAAGAACTATATCATCCCTAAAAAGTATACATTTGGGAATTTCTCTTGAATATGTTCAGTTAAAACATCTAAGACTAGATCAAACAAATAAGGACTCAAAGATTATCCTTGATGCAGTCCAATCTTTATAAGAAAATCTTTTGTTTTGCTAGCAAGTATTCTTATATTAGTTGTTACCCCCTCATACATGTCTTGTATAGTTTGAATATAGGCAACCCGGACACCCTTCTTTTTCAATGTCTTCTAAAGTACTTTTCTCGATACATGATCATAAGCTTTTTCTAAATTAATGAAAACCATATATAAATTTTTATCTTTGCATTGATATTTTTTCATTAATCCCCTTAGTAGATAAATCACTTCTATAGTCGCCCTCCCTGGCATGAAACTGAATTGATTCTCAGAAATATCAATTTTCAATCTCAACCTATGCTCAATCACTCTTTCCTATAATTTAATAGTACAACTCATAAGTTTAATCTCTCTATAGTTAGCACAATTCTAAATATCTCATTTATTTTTATAAATAGGAATTAAGGTGTTTCTCCTCCAATCGTTCGACATTCTTTTGGATTGTAAAATCTTATTAAATAACTTAGTTAACCATCGCACTCCTTCTTCACCCAAACATTTTTACATTTCAATAGAGATATAATCAGGTATACACAAGATTATAAAAATTAATTTGTTTAAGCTTATTAATTAATGTAAATCCATAAATAAACATTTCAAAAATGCAATCCCTCTACCAGTGAAGCAATAAACAAATTGATAACAATGGTGTCATTTGTATAGACTTAAAAAGTTCAAAAAGTCTTTGATGAAATATAAGAATAACATATTTTGAACAACCTTAAAATAGTAGTTTGTTGTTGTTATTATTATTATTATTATTGTATTTTGCTTTGGCTTGTGAGAAATCCACCGGTTGTAGTTTTTTTTTTTTTTTTTTTGGTGTTTTTTTAGTACTTTTGTAACGAGGGAAATTTGAACCTCAGCTTTGTGTGGATGAATGATTAAGATTTTCTCAATAGATAGGAAAATTTAGTTTAGATAAACCAGGATTTGCTCTTGTAAGGCAGACTTGATGAATGAAAATTATGTTTGAGTATTGTGAGAGTTTCTCCCTGTATCTGCATTCTGCCTCCCCCTCTTGCTCCCCCATTGTTTTGTCTTCATCTTCTTCACTTCTCCCTCCCTGTTTCTGGTTTATCTCTGCTCTCTCCCTCTGTTCAGAGCTGTGCTAGTGTTTGTGAGTGTGTTAGATCAGTCTTCTTATTAAATTTTACTGGTTAAAGTTCATTCACACATAATACATAGTTCAACAGAATTGCATTTAGTTTATTTATTTTAAATAGTGGTATGATGGTATGATCGTTTCCAGCCACTTTTACAGGCATTGATTGAAATTTGAAAAATGATGAGTCCTATTGCTATCACATTTCTGGTGCTGATAGATTTGGTTTCAAAAACGAAGAATCTATCCTTATCTTTCATCAGTGTTATGAAACAGTAAAATTAAGAAGGAGACGAAAACACATCACAAGAGTATCGAAAGAGTACAAATCAAGGACTGAGAAAGCACCAGAGCAACAGAAGCACAAAAAATCTTTAGAACACACAATGATAGACTCTAGAGCATATGGCTGCTAGCACTTCACAAACCATCAAAGTATGTTAGTCACTGATGTGATATTTATCAGTCTTGTGTAACAAAAGAATCCAGACATGAGTAATCAGACCCCCACCTCTCCTTATTTGCTCAGAATGTTCATCTGCAGAGCAATTAGCAGCAGCATAACACAACATCTCCACCCACACGCTGCATATAATATGCCATCTATTTTCCCTCTTCATCAGATTCCTAGCCAGTCTCTGAGCATCCCTTAACATATTCCATTTCAAAGTAACCACTGTTTCTGAGCTTCTTTCAGAGACTGAATAAAGACTTTCCATCCTCAGAATCCTGCACACTTCACCTTCATCTTTTATAAGCTGCTCTTTCTGCATGAAGTCCTTGAGTTTGTCATAGGCATGCCGAAATATTATGGTTGCTGTTGCCATGGATAGCATTTGAGGACGCATTGCTAGAAGGTACATCATGTAATTTGACAACAATTTTCCCATTTGGCTTTTGGAATCTGTGGCTGACTTGCATTGATCATCTGAGCAATAGCAGATATCTGTTGCAATGTGCCATATAGCGATGCTCTTGTCAAAGTCTCTTTTGACACTCCATTTGAAGTCACCGAGGCAGCCATGCCTCCCAAGTGACCATTCTCCTCTCTGGTTGAACGGCTTTTGTCCTCTTTCTGCATCTATGAGTTTCATTTCTTGAACCATCAAAACTTTCAATTCTTGGGGCACCTTTAAACGAGTCCTGTGTCTGTGTTTTTTAAACGCCTTGTCAAAGCTACGAAACTTGAGAATCTTGCTGCATTTGAGTTGCTTTTCATGGAGGCAGAAGCTCAGCAAGTTGAACTGTGGTAATGTATTTGACCATCTCTTCCAACCGGCTGCTCGGTGGCCTAGAATCCTCAAGCATGGTGTTACAAGTGGAAGGTTTCGGTACTTTATCATTTGAATTATTGCCCAGTCTGAGAAAGGTAATTGTGCAATCTGGTAAGCCTCAAGAAGCACAGCTCCTGCTAGCATCCCAACTATAAACCAGGCTTTCCAATGATGGTTAAAATCATGTTCGAATTTGATACAGAATCCACACAAAGTTAGAACTAAGTTGAAGGAACTCACAGCACGAAGAATACAACCTTCTCTGGTGTAGATTATAGGTGCTTTAGTGTACAGCACATCATACATGAAACTCAGTTCAGCATCTGTGATTTGGAAAATCTCCTCCGGTTCATAAGCCTCAATGGACATATGAGGAAGAGACTCATATAGAGGCAGGTAGAGCCAGTTCTCACGGTGAGGCTTCAATGAGAAAAAGCGGTAATAAGCCATTAAGATCAGTTCTATGTAGGGGATATTGTGAGGAAGCATTCGAAACAATGCAGGCATACTTGTTTCTCTGTCAATTTCTTCAACGGTAATTATACCAGATCTCTTACTGATAGCTGACTTCAAAGCCCACACGACTTCCCCATACTTGATTAGACCAGACACAAACAATGGCAAGTAAAGATACGAGAGCCAAGAATGTGTCCAGCTCTTGATAATAATCCATGTCACTATAGCAACTTGAAAAACAAGGCCAATAAGTTGTCTCACTCCCAATCTATTATCTTCAATGGAGTATGCAGTTATGGCATCCGGGTTTCCTATTTGCACCAGAAGTAATGGAGCGTATAACGCCTTGAGTTCCCTTCTGATATTCCTTTCATCTGGGTCACTTTCAGGTATTACAGTGAGCTTGCCTAGGATGATTCTTGCAAGGGAAGCAGAAAGTAAATAGGAGGACCAAACAGTTAATCTAATCCAGATACCTGGAATATCCTTTCTTCGGTTGCCATAGACTGTGAGAATAAGCTGCAAAATGAAGCTGAAAAGCACAAGTGTTTCTAAGCCCCCTTTATCCCACAGGTTTTTTAGTTCTCCTGGGACTAGAGATACGTGCATGTTTCTGTATATCCAGCGGTTAAATACTGCAGAAATGAGGCAAAGCCACAAAAGTTAGCATTTTCACATGCTCAATAATGAGTTTTTTTTCATTGCAGACATAGCAAAACGAGAATGAAAGGAAAAATGCAAGTAAAGTGATTAGGGTGTAATACCTGATCAATTTTCTACTATATATGAATCAGCTGGGGTTAAGAAACAGCTAGCTGTTAAGGCGGCCATGGGAATTAAAGATGAAACATAAGGGAGAATAATGGAGGGATTATGGAGAATGAGTTTAGCAATTAGGATTAAATCTTCAATCAACCCTCCATTGTCTTAACTCTTATAGTACACCCAAGGCCAACATATGAACAAAACTGAAAACAGCAGGCAAACGGTGATACTCTGCTAAGTTGTCAGAAACCTTTCCTTAATCCGGAAGGTAATGTTTGTTTTTCTGGGATAACTTAGATCAGACACTAGTTGCAAAGCCTTAATGATCCTTAACTTGTCCGGAATTACTATGTGTAGGAATCCTTTCTTCATCAGACACTTATCTTATGATCTTTTACTGCCTCCAAGTTTGATTCTTAGGATACTTTAGAATAACTAATTAACTCCTCCATTGAATTCAATATGTGATGAATGATGTCTTGTGATGGCATATATACCCTGTTTCTGACATTTTTGCAAACACGTAGCCCGCATTGCAAAAGATGTTTTGCAAAACGTTAAAGGAGAGAATTGTTTGCCGTGTGCATGATGTTTTGGTGTTTTTCCTTTTCATATGTGATGGCTGATGAGTGATGTTCCTTGAATCAATTTGCGGTCACACAGTAGTCACGTGACCACGTGCTAGGCACAGTAATTCGAGAGGGGAAGAAAGGAAAAAGAAAAATTATAATTTGAATGCTTTTTTTGTTGGGACTAATGCATGCTTTTATTTGAATTGATCCAAAGTAAAAATGTTTATTTGTCAATGTTATCACGGGTCTCTATATATCCTGTTAAGATAAAAATTTATTGATTGAAAAATGCATAAATATTAAGGTAAATCAAAACACGTATATCTTTTATAAATTATTTAATTAATGATAAATTTGTATCATTAATATTAAAGAATGTCACTTATGGCCGCAGAGTAAAGAAATTTGAATTTAGAGCTCATTACAATGTGAAAATTCTCTGCAGGCTCAAGGCCTTAAGTGGAAATATATTTTAATAAAAAAACATGTATTTGCCCTCCCTTTTTCATAAATGCTCAACGCAATATTTATAAATTCTCAACATAATATTTTTTAATGTACAATTGGTTTAACTTGAAATGTACAAGCTGCGTGTGATGAAAGAACAAAATATCCATAAATGTATAGTACAATATTCAAAAATTCTTAATACAATGTCTTGTAATTGGTAACAAATTGTCTAAGGACAAGTGCATCTTTTTCTGTTAAAATATATTTTCACTTAAAATCCTTAGACTTGTAGAGAGTTTTTTTTGTTATATTGGGTCTTAAATGTAAAATTTTGTGCTCCGCGAGTCTTAAGTGAGTTTCTTCCTATTAAAATTTATATGTATTAATTTGATTGGATAAAACTATATTAAGTATGCAAATTTTGCCCTTTATAATGTGGAAATAATAATTTTAATTTACATATATTAATATTTATCAAATTAAAAAGATCTTTTGACTATGCTAAAAATGGATTTTATTATTAAAACAGTGACAGAGACAAGAGCTATTTGTCACAAATAAACGTGCAACCCTACATCAAGAAATTGACATTCCGATTTTTTTTTAATTTATTTGAGATTTGTAAAGTTATATACAATACAACGTAATTATTCCACGTGTGTGTTATTACCTACAATCTTATTTGAAATGTTATAGGAAGCTAAATGTGAATACCTTTTACGGTAGAAATTCAAATTCAGTTGACCATATTATAAATGACTGGCTCATTTTCTCAAGGTGTGTTTGATTTAAAGGGAGGGAAGAGTTTTAATATTATCTTGTGTGATTTCATTATAGAAGGCATTTTTAATGATTATTTGTTTGATTTTGGAGGCGAGAGAAGTGGAGATAATAACTAATTTAATATTAAATTCTTATGCATTAATTTAAAATTTTTTTAATTCTTGCACCTCAATTTAAATTGCATGATTTTTTAAAAATTTACTTTCATCCTATCATATTGTCAACATGTGAATAAAAAAATTAAACAAATAATTATAATGACAACAATTTTTAATAAAAAATAAATAACTCCCTTAAATATATTATAAAATATGATGAATTATAATCTTTTTTAAAAAAATCCAATGAAGTCAGTCAAAGTGTGAGAATGAAGCACAATTTGATATGAATGAGAGTTTTTTTTTAACTACAGATATATTTAGAATATTAAAAAATAAATAAGAGCAAAATAATCAAAAAAATTAACTCCCCTAAAAAAATCTCAATTTAAAGGGGAGCAATATGAGGGGAGGGGAGGGGAGCCAAATTTCTTAACCAAATGAGGGGATGGGAGATGCTCCCTTCCCCTCCAAAATCTCTCAACTAAACATATCCTTAAATACCAACTCTTATATTATTAAATATATATTTCAATTTGTATATATATGATATGTGCGCGCTCGCCTGCTCTCACGCATGCATGTATAGCATAAAATACTACCCAAACTCAGAAATACTCGATTCACTACCTTTTTTTTTAGCCAACAGAAATATTCTGTTCATTAGCTGAATACCCAGAGGAGAAAATTTAATCGATTAATTGATGAGGGAGAGAGGGAGAGAGCGAGAGAGGGTACAGCAGTGTTCATTAATGATAAGAAATTTGATTACTAACAATAACAAATGCCTGCCTCTTTTTTCCCTTTTTTCTCTCTTCAACATGCAGGTGATTTTTTTTTTTCAACTACAACAAATCAATTAGAAAAATCAAAGAAAATATTTGCTCAATTCTACCTCGTCATCTTCACCATATGGGAAGAAAAACTCATTCAATTAATTTGCCCCAATTTTTTTTTTTAAAAAAAAACGTTGCGTTCTTCTTCCGTCGTCATCTTCAAGTCAATTTGTGTTAACAAGGATCAAGCTTCCATACTCACAGGAAGGAGAGCTAAAAACAAATTAAAACCTAGGGATCAATGTAATGAATATAATAAAATAAATAAAAATGGTTAAACCTCTCTGTTTTTTCAGTGAATAAAGCCACCTCATCCTCCTTGATCATGCCTCAAAGTCATGATAGTTGAACGCAGGGGAAACAAAAGAATAATTGAGCTCACTGAACACTGTATAATCTCCTTCTCCATATCCATTATTGCAGTCTTCACACTCAAAGTACGTCTGAATATCCTCCGGAAAAGTGCACGGCGGCAAACTAGACTCCTCTGCCTTCGCAGGCGTTTCCGCCACCGACAAATCGGCCATTGACGTCATCTCCTTAAACTTGGACGACTGAAGCAGGAGGCCGAGGGCCGAGGTGGCTTTGGCCTGCCGTGACTGAGCAAAGCTGGTGGAGGTTTCATCCCCAGTACTGCTGAATGAAGAATCCTGCTGGCTGGTGAAGAAGTAATTGAATCCATGTTCTTGAGTGTTAGGGTTTCTTGGGTTGATGAAGCGAGCATCGCAGTTAGGGTTAGGCTTAGAGTCACTAAGCATAGCATTACTGTTACTAGTAGTGTTAATCATGTTGATGCCGTGATTAATATTGGGCTTAAGCCACTTAATATAACGACTTAGGTCAAAATTGGTGACAGCATTAAGCCCGCGGTATTCAATGGCCGCCATATCATATGCCGTGGCAGCTTCTTCTTGGGTAGCTGCAAGATTTAGAAACATTGATGGATGATGGATTTAGCAAAGAAATTAAGAAATAAATATTATTAATATGAATAATATATATAATAATTCACGTGTCATTATTATCATTACGTGCGTGTGATCCGAGGAGGTTAAGTTAACAAATCTGTTAAGAGAGGGCTACCTCTTCCAAACCGATCGAATGCGACTGACGATGACGTTGCACATATTTTGTCAACGTCATGATGATAGGGACACAAGTTTTGTATATTGACGATATAGTTTATAATAAAGTGAGTTGATTATTAATGTTTTTTTTGTGCCCATGCACGCGTCAGAGTCTGTGTAGAAGTACATATTTATTTATGATTAGAATTAGATACATTTGGATGATTAATTATAACAAGGATGATAAATACCTTATGATTTATGAGTATTATATATATTTTTGCTATTTTTTTGCTGATATTTTGCTATATTACTTACTAAGTGTGTTTGTGTGAGTATATGGGGACTTTCATTATCTATAATTTGAGTTTAATTAATTTTACGTACGCAGTCACAAAAGCCTGTCACGTACGTAAGTTTACATTAACAGTGGATAAACATATACGAAATTTGTTAATATTTGTGATTGCGTGCTTTAAAATGTTAACTAAGCTAAGTGAAGATATTTTACCATAAGTCCCAAGATAAAGATATTTGTTGCCGAACACTCTGCCAATGCGAGCCTCCCATCTTCCATTATGATGATGTCTGAGATCATTAATTAAAAAAACATAATATGAATTTTAATTAACACATAATAATTTTGCTGATGTTAATACTCCAAATACTAGTTTAATAAGTTCAAAATTACTCGTATATATACCTTGCCACGCCTCTGTACTTAGAAACTCCACGAGAAAAGCCACTGCTTTTCCTGCAATTTATTTTTTGGGTAAATTACCTCATTTACAATTACTAAACTACACTTTTTCTATAAATTTGAAAAAGGAAGAAAGAAGTTTTACCTTCTTAATGATCCAATATATTCTTCCCTTGATTGACCCTCCATTTCTTTCATTTCATTGAGATAGGTCGATGGCTGCAATGTTGACAGGCAAACAAGTTATAACTAATAACAGAAGCTCTCTCTCTCTCTCTCTCTCTCTCTCTCTCTCTCTCTCTCTCTCACACACACACACACACACACACACAATTTCATTATTGTGCAAGCTACAAAGCATGTGAATTAATAAATACAAACCGGAAAGTTTAGTATGGTATCTTGACCCCAGTACTTCAGTGCTGCTAGATCATAAGCATGTGCTGCAGCCTCTTCATCATCATAAGCACCTAAACATACGTAGAACGCACCACATCGTCTGACAACTTAGATAACTATCATTTGTTCCTTATAATAAATAGGTTTCAAGAGAGTATTTTTTTTTTAAGGGATTATTTTGATTTTGTCATATATACTTACCCAGATACACTGATATATAGATTAAATTTGAAGCACCCCACAAGGCAATGCCATGCACGCAACAGAAATCAAAGATAACAGGTATCAGCAAACTTACATGAAACCTTATATATACTATCAAGAAACAGAAGCTGTGTGTGTGTGTTATTATCCTTATATTGGGGTGCCTCACAAGAAAAATGGGCTCATAAGTTTAAAAAACCCTTTTACCTAACAAGTTAGTCTTTTAGACAATTTCAATGTGAGACTGACAATAATGAACCTCCATTCGAGACTTAAACATCCCTCGTGGCTCTCCATCGGCCTCATGTGCCGATCAGTCATTTAAAACTTTATGGGCAGCCTTTTTTATAACATCAACCTTTCAATGAACTTATAAGCTCCATTTCTTTTGTGAGGCTTCTAGACTTTCATATAACATACGTGCACGTACCTTGTCGTCCTTTCTTGTTCTGCGATTCATTCCAACAATTCTTGTCCCACAGATGAGCTTCATATCGTCCTGTCCATCGGTGTCTGTAAATTCACCATTCGTAACACATCCATTTCACATCATCATGTTATCAAGCATACGTAAACAAGATTACAGGATATCAGGCAAGTAGGTCAACATGTGTGTGTGTGTACCTAGTGACTCCTCTATATTTTGAGCTGCGTTGAAGAGGTGAATCTCTGGGGACACTTCTTCTGGTTCGTTTCTTCGTCGTTGTGATAGATTGCACACAACTAGTACTGGTACTGGTACTGTTAGTTGCCTTAGGGTTACTGTTCTTGTGTTTCCCCATGGAAGTTGCAGAGAAGAGCTAGCTAAGAGCTGGAAAACAGTGAGATGATGATTATATTTCTAGAAGCTAGCTATAGAAGATATATGCATGACTTAGAACCCAATGATGATGATTATATATAAAGAGAAGGGAAGAATGAGGTTGGAAATGTTTGAGCTGGCAATATTTTGATATAGCCGGCTAAAATCATGTCTGTTTTCCTCAGGCCGTCTTTGAAGCGGCTAATATATAATTAATTTAATGTATATGATATTTTCATCTTCATGCAAAAGTTCTTTGATGTTTTCCTTATTTTGTCTCTTATCAGAATTTTGTGTGGTGTGGCTTTCAATCGGTTTGATGTATCTGCTATTCCCTTGTTCTCTTGATTTCACTGATTTTTTTCGTTTGTTTTTTCCCCTCTTTGACAATTATTCTTTGTTCCTCTTTTTGTCACTTTTTACCTTTCTTTTAAGCGCGCGCGCGCGCACATATATATATTACCCTATCATCTTTAGTTTAAATTACAAAAGTCCTCCCCATATGAATATTTTTCTTTTTTGGATATTTTTTAAATAATTCTTCCTGTGTGATTGGATACTAAGAAAACTTTTGAACACAAAACATGACGTGTTAGACTCGATGTCTTTAGGGCAAATTCCATCAAATTTCAGACTGGGTCTTGTGATTTTTTTTTTAAATCATAACTTAAAGAACTTCATTTCAATAGTTCAAATTATTAAGAACTGTCATGGCCTGAGGTACAAATTATTCAATAATTCTAAAAAGGTGAATGTTTCTGAAAAAAAATAAAAACTGGCAGCTCTCAATAATATGTTGATTGAAAATATAACTCATAAACAAATATATTTTTCAACATAGAAGTATGATGTATTGGTCGTTTAAATATCTACTTGATTTGGAGAAAATCAGGAAGAATATATAACTTATAATAATGGACCCTGCCCAACACAAAAGAATAAGATAGATTAAAAGATTAAGTGGAAGAAATAAAACACTTTGTTAATGTTAAAAGAAATTAACGTGTCTCTAATTTAAAAATAATATCTGAGATAAATCATAACTACAAGAATATAAAATATGTGTACGTTGTTACAAAAGAAATGGAATCTACTGAGGTAACCAAATGCGTTCGTACTCTCTGCCAATTAGGTAGGGACAAAATTAACGGAATGGGATTGGGATGATGATAAGGATGTAATTAAAGCAATTTAACCATTGCAGCGAAAAAAAAAAAAGTTTTAACCGTGGCATTTCTCACTTCTCTCTCGACTCTGAGATAATTTGTTTAATTTTCTCAAATTTAAAATTCTTCAAATGTAATAAGTATCATCATCGTATACATCAAATTGATTTTTTAATACTAATAACTAGTTTCCATAATTAAAATAAAAATCATATTAATCCTTGACTAATCCAGACTAGGTATCTAATTCCAACTTGATTTGCAAAAAATTATATACGTTGCAATTTTCTTCACAAAAGAAAAACTTAAACTCATAACATTATTTGATTATTAAAAAAAAAGCACCAAGCTACTTGAATTGATTAATTAATTGTTGTTGCAGGGTTGTCCATTTACCTTTCAATGTTTTTTGTTTTTAACAATAATAGGAGTTCAATGCAATTTTTATCATCATATATATTCCTTCCGTTCAAAAATGTTTAAAAATGTAAGGTATTTTTAATTAAATCTCATTCTCCAATAAAGTAACTACCTACTTTTAAACTAACCCCATCTTTCCATATTTATCTCTATTAAAAATTCTATAAAAATATAAAGTCACTATTAATAGAGGCATTTAAAAAAAAAAGATAATAATTACACCTCGAAAGACTAAATGTTTCACATTTTTTAACATTTAATTCTTTAAAAAATACCTTACATTTTTTAATTAAGGGAATAATTTCCAACCAGAATGAAATGTTATAAATATTTGATTAAAGCTCGACCAGGGGTATGAGGTCACAAAAGTCATTTAATTTCTCGTATCATTTAAATTTGCTTGAATAAACCCAGCTGGTTGCATTGCTGGTGATAGAGCCTGGTTCAACTGGTACTCAAATTCGAGCTGCAGTAATGTCAGGTGGTAAAGTTTTTACCTTAAAAAAAAATCCCCCAACCTGACTTGATCCAAATTCTTATGGGCTCCATCAAAGTCCCTTCAACTCAATGTGCAGCAAGCCTTGGATGTCCCAGCAAGTATTTAACATAGTTGTATGCGCAGAGCTACGTCGAACACGAAATTACTGGTTAAATTAGCACAGTCCCTTATTAATTGGGTTATGTGCCTGTTGATGTGAACTGTGAAACTATCATCTCCAGACTTCAATGGGCACTTCAAATCCTAAAATAGGTTGCCCCGATCTGGGAATGCAATAGCAAACATAATGGAATGACGAGGGGGAAAAAAATCCTTTTTTCAATATGAAATGTGGTGCGTTTTTAGATGAAACTGAAAACAAAAAATAATTACTATTATAAACCATATGAATATATAATTACATGCGTTATATATATCATGCATTTGGATATTCTTGTAATAAAAACATACTATTTATTTTAACTTCCTTACTGCTACCAAACGAGACCTATCCATCCATCTAGCTGCCCTTTAATTTAATATGTTTATACGCGGCTCAGGGTCATTCATTTGAGGCGAGATGTACCTGATTTATAAAGTTGGTAACATGAATTAACCCATGAGCTAGCTCGCAATAGGTTGATATAGCCCACATCTTATATAGGTTGTATTCTTGCCAACAAGCCAATCCGCAGTGGGTTGCACCAATATAAAATATTTTATATATTTTTTTAATTTTAAAAATTATAAATTTATAATAATGTTAGAAGCTTTATTTATCATTAATTATTAGCATCACACAATTAAACATAAAAATACAATTAACACGTAGGAGTCTAAAAAGTAAAATTAAATTTGACTAAAGGTTAGTTGGCTTACTTTTTTTTTTGGTTGGCTAAAAAATTCTGAATTCATTGAATTAAATCATAAATAACAAAGATAATACAAAAAATAAAGTTAAAATTTATTCAAAGCTTGATAACCTAGTGACTCATAATGCAAAAAATAAATGGCTACTCGTGCTTATTTGAAAATATTTTACTCCAGAGCCTTTGTTTAAGTGCACGCTATGCCAATGCACTTGACTAATCATGGATTTATAGCTATATTGGCTAATTAAATGTGACAAGTAATAATGAAGATAGATAATAGGCACATAATTTAAATTATTGCAACAATTTGAATAGTGGTGATGATTTCAAAATTGAGAAAACAATGCTATGATTTTTGTTATTCTTTTTAATAAGACGGCCAACTCATTGCAGGCCAAAATTGCTGTGCATAAAAAAATAAATCCATTTTTTTTCCAACCCAACCCACCTTTTTTGTGGGTTGGTGGGCTCAATCCATGTTACTGACTCTACTAATTATTAATATTTTGATGGGCAATACTTATGTACTTAACATTATATACTTAATATATTTTTATTTAATTTTTTGTTAAAAAATATATTTTTATTCAATTAAATCATAACATGTAATTTTAATATGTTCATAATATTAATAATAAAAATTTATTATAGAATAAATAATTTATAAAAGATGTACATATCTTGATTTAATTAAAAATAAATATCTTAAATATATAAAGTATATACTTTTTTTCCCTATTTTTATTGGGAGAATATTATAAGTAAATGGAGGAAGAACCTTTTTGTAAAGCCCAAAACAGGCCCATATAATAAGCAGCCGTTTACCCCAAAAAAATTTAAAGAAAATTGTTTAATTAGTAATATATAAATGTACTAAATGCTTGTCTCGTGAATACCCAAAAAAAAAAAAAGGAAGAGCTTTGCTACTGATGTTATCCTACTTATAGAGAGAGAAAACTGCTTTTGTGCACTGATTCTTTCAAAGGCCTTTGTGACATCAAGTAAGAACAGTTTTGAGGTCAATCTTTGTTTAATGTATAAGTTGAAGATATATATTTGAAGTTTTTTGATGTGCAATTAGAAAGTCACTTATGAACATATTTATAATGAAATTAATTGATTTGCTCATTTTATCCATGACATAGAAGTCGAATCTTATATTATGAACTAGCCTTCAAATGATGAATGCAAAACCCTGCTCCAACTTAATATGCATTTATGTTATAGTGACACTCAGTAATCCCCTATGGAAAAAAAATATTTATATACGTTTTTAAAATTTATTAGATTATTAGAAGATTATCCATAAGTCATGTTTACGTACAAGAATGGTTAATTTGCTTATAAAATTGCTTAACCCCCCAGAACTTACAAGTGATGCGTACAAGCCACAGTTCCAAGCTGGTCCCTGTTAACACAGGCTAATATTGAACTTGGAATTAACTTTATCATCAACCTAAACCCTGAAGGCTGGTTTAAGCAAACGAATTCGTTTGTTATTAATTCAAACTTCAATAATGCAAAAATGTTTTAATATTTAATAATTGTTAAAATATATATAAAAAAATTAAATGAATATGAAAAATGAAATAAAATAACGAAGAGCGAGGTTTCGAGTAAAATTTCTCCGTTGATAATAACTTTAGCAGCACATTATTCTTTGACGTGAAGGAGTAGTGTGCACAAATATTACGCTTTTATAACTAGTTATGAATGATATAATGCATAAAAATGTTTTATTGCTGTAATTTTTTGACCTATGGCTTTATAATTTTTGACACTTTGCAGATCGATTGATGGCGGTGAAGAATTGGTTTGCCAAATCTAATGCGAGCAGGTGAGTTGCTAAAATTTTTTTAAACTGAAGATGATGGTTGCTGGCACTTGTTATCTTAAAGGTTGTTGGGAAAAATATAATTTTTAAATTTAAATTTTATGTTAACTACAGATTGAATGTTTACATTTTAACTCAGTACAGCATAAGTTTACATTTCTTTTATTTATTTAGAACAAGCCAGTAGTTCTTATAATTTTTTATCTCTCAAACTCAATCTTTATAATTCATTAACTCATTAAACTATAATGATCAAGTTGTACTTAGAATCAAAATTCAGAGGTTAAATTAATAATTAATGAAAATATTAGGATTAAAAATTATATTTTTCTATTTGATATTTTGTATATATGATAAATTTTATTGGATGCAATTTAGATGGCTAGCTTTTTATGCTCCACATCTTTGCTTCCAATCAACATGTCCAGATTAAAAAATAAAATCACTACATGTGAATTTTTTAAATATTATTTATATTTATTAGTGCAATTTCTTTTTATCTTGTCTTTATTAATAAAATGATCATTAATAACTTAAATTTTTTAATTTTAATTTAATAAAATAAGAATATATTGAATATATAAAACTATGAATTATCCTTCTTCATATTTATTTATTTCACGTCACTTCGTCGTTGTTGGTTTCTTTGAATGTAATATTATAAATGAAGAGTCGAGGGAGCTTCAAAGCTCAAGTCTTGACTAGTCGATCGCGAAAGAAAGCGCGAAACTGAACAATAAGAATCAACATTATTAATATGGTAGTGAAAGCGAAGAACCCTACGAAGAACTTTGAACGCCGACTGGTCAAGTTTCATGAATTGCCGGAATACTTGCAAGACAACGAGTTTATTTTGGACTATTACCGATCGGAATGGCCTCTGAAGCACATTTTGTGGAGCGTCTTCTCATGGCACAACGAGACCCTCAACATTTGGACGTACGTTACCTCTTCTTCTTCTTCTTCTTCTTCTTCGATCTCATTAGCATATTCCGATATAGCAGTCGGGATTATTAGTGAATTGTGTCATTAAAATACGGAGCCGTTTGGATTGACCGGAGTTGGATCGATGTGGTTGTTTATGCAGGCACTTAATCGGTTTTCAGATATTCGTAGCATTGACGGTGATCAGCTCGACGGAGACGGATCAGATCGGGCTCCTTGATTGGGTCTCGAAGTCCTTATGCTACTCCAGGTACTGTTGCGGAGGACCTCTGCGTCATTTTGTTGTTTGTTTACGGTTGTTTTGGGGGCATGATGAATGATTCAGGGAATTAATATTTAATAACATCTCACTTTGGAGGATTGTGGCGGCGGAACAGAGCTCCGGCGGTAGGTTTCTTGACGCCGACGAACGAGAGTACCTGCTTAGGTGGCTACTCATTCCCGGTTAGTTAAAATTGCTATATTATTGTGAAATTTTTAATTCGGTTAAACAATAATAAATATCGTACAAATTGAAGTTTCATATTTTAGATTATACTTTTTTTCCCCTATTTTGAGATGATATAAAAATCTGAACACGACTTCCATGCAAGGATGACACATATAAATGGAAAAAAGTTGAAACTTGTCAACTATCAATAGTGAAGAAACATGCTTCCTGGTGCCACAAGCACTTTGACGAAATTAGTTCCTTTACGTGCTCACTCTGTGATCACTTGGTTTTCATTCAAGTGTTTAGAACATGTGTTCTTTTGTCATTACTTCAAAGCATTTGTTTCTTACACGTTTGCTGACAGCACAAAGCTTTTAGTAAATGTTGCTTTACTCTTATCATTGCAAACTTTTCGAGTTAAGAAATCTGCAGGGCGGTCATGCTCATTCAACACATCACAAACAAAGATCCATTTATTCAACACACACGCACATATACATAGCCTACATTATTCTTATTCACCTTATATATCATCCTGATTATTATTTCTCATACATTCTTGAAAAGTGTGGATAATTTTGACCTGATAACAAATTCAACGGACGTTAATTATTTTATTCACCTTATTATTTTTATCCTTCTAGGAATCCCATTTAAGACACATTTCGGAGTCGTCAATCCTTGACAACCTCAAAGAACATGGTGCAGAACAAATTCCCAGGTGGCCATGGTTTGTTTTCTTAGCTGGAGCAATGACCTGCTTGATCTGCAGTTCTCTGTCCCACCTCTTTGCATGCCACTCCAAACGCTTCAACCTCTTCTTCTGGCGTCTAGACTATGCCGGTATCTCCCTCATGATAGTCTCCTCCTACTATCCCCCCATTTACTACGCCTTCTTCTGCAGCCCCACCACAAGATTCTTCTATCTAACCTCAATCTCTGTTCTTGGAGCCCTCGCCATCATTGCCCTTCTCTCCCCTGCTCTCTCTGCGCCTCAGTTTCGATCCTTAAGAACCTCCTTATTCCTCACCATGGCCTTCTTAGGTGTCATTCCGGCGACTCATGCTGTTGTCCTCCACCGGAGCAACCCGTATATATTTGTTGCAATTGGGTATGAACTTGCCATGGCTTTTCTCTATGTCACAGGTGCTGCGTTTTATATCAGCAGAATGCCAGAGCGTTGGATGCCTGGAGCATTTGATATTGCAGGGCACAGTCATCAGATTTTTCATGTGTTTGTTGTTCTTGGAGCGCTTGCACACAGTATTGCCACTCTAGTTATGTTGGATTTCCGAAGGTTATCGCCAACCTGTGCAAATTTATCTAAGTTTATTGGCACACGTCAGATATTCATATCATAAGAGGTTGTGACACCAATTTATGCGTAGATACCCTGCATATAGTTGTCTGTTGTATCCTGTGTCTGTATTTTTTAAGTTAGCAATCCATTCTGCGGTATAATTGCATTATGATCCTAGAAAGAAATAACCAATTATTAAATTAAAAGCAGTTATCAATTGTTACTGTATATGAGTTTTTTTTTTTTTTTTTAGATAGACTGCATATGAGGACTTTTAGAAGCTTATGAGTATGATGATCATTCCATGGCTCAATATCTAGAAAGGTTTCTGGTGTTTCTTCCCTCTGCTTTCAGCCGGTTTTGCCCGCTTCATTGATCTGTTCATGACTTCACTCAACCACCGGTTCCTTGGTCTCTACAAGACCGGATTAATGGCCACTTCCAAGTTTAACTCATCAAACCAACTAGTCTAGTCCGGTTTCTTAAACACAGCATTTAGCCAAATCCAACTGACCCCAAAACAGACCCACAAATTCACTAGTCATCCCTTCATGTCTAACAATTCAAATATAATTTTCACAAACAACATAAGTATTATTATTACACACACCTAGCACTTGTTTGATGCCTGATACATCAATTCTGGAAACAAAATACATTTACTATGAAATCAAAGCAAACAACATAAGAATGAGACATCAGGTTTTCCAGTGCACATGCTAGATAGCATGTCTTCCCCTGTGTCTCCAAATAGTTAAAGGACATCGTTTTCTCCTAATCTGCAGCTAAAAATAATTAAAGCCATGAAAAAATATACTCGATCACTAAACCAGACATCAATATGATTCTTGATAATTCCACCTTTATAGATAAATACCAGTGGATGATTTTTTTTTTTTTAAAGGAATCAAACAGCAGTTAAAAGGAGTAACAGTTGATGATTTACAGGTAAATTAATGACATCAAACCGAAAATCTCAAGAACTTGGTTCTTTGGAGATAGAGAGAATGAGAAAGACACACAAGGGAACCACTGCAAATGCCGCAATCTTTAGCAATTCTTCAGTCTGTGGGGTAATCACTCCAATCCTCGACCAGTCTCCACTGTACCTGAAACAACATGTGAAGCATACAAATGAGTCAAATTAAGAAACTTCAATTTCTGCTCAAAGCAAAGGAAGCTTTAAAAAAAAAAAAAAAGCCAACCCGGCATCTATGAACCCCAATCCGAATACTGCAATGGCCGTGCGAGAAAGAATGGATCTTGAAAGACTTAGTGGGAATAAGGGTTTTTGGTGGGTCGTGGGTTTCTCTTGTAAATCCCTCTTTTTGGCGAAAATTTTTCTGATTTTTCTGCCATTTTCGTTTACAGGTGGATAAGAAGGAGTAAGGCTGGTAAAGACGGCGCAACTCACCGGCATTAGCATTTCCTCTCCTCTACTTCCAAGTTCCAACTTTTCAGACTTCATCGCCTGATACTTGAATTCAGGATAAAAGTGAAAATTTCATAATTGTTTTAATTTAATAATATAATGCTCTTACAATTAAAAAAATAAAATTGATAATAAAATTGAATTATATAAATATTAATATGATATCTCAAAATGATATAATTACACTAAAGTTTTACAGATTTTTTTGTTAATAAATTTTAAATTAAAAAAATTATTTTATCTTTATTGATAATTTATAATTTTTTCTTTAATTTTTATAATTTTTTAAAAAAATTATATTTTTGAATAAAAATTATGAATAGAATTTGTTATTTAATTTTTTTAATAATAAAAATTACACTTAATAAATTATAATTTTTTATTTCAACTCTTGTAATTCACAGAATAAAAATTATTATTTTTAAAATAAAAGTTATGATTGGAGTTTTTTAATGACAGATGTTAAATTCAATAAGTTATGATTTTTTATTCAACTCTTATAATTTATAAAATAAAAGTTACAATTCATTAAACAAAAGTTATGATTGAAGCTTATTATTTTTTACAAAAATAAAATAATATTTTTACTAAAAATTATTAATAAAAAAGTCTATAAAAACTTTATTAGAATTAGAATATTTTAAAGGATTAAATTATTATTTATGATTAAAAATTTTGAAATTAGTCATCTACATCTATAAATTTACAATTTTTATTGCGCTACAGTAATTTTTTAATTATTAATAAAAAGGTTTTTTAATTTAAATTAGATCTTAAATGTTAAATTTTAAATTTTAAAAATTTATAATTTTTATTTTAAATTTTAATAAAAAATAAATTTATTTATTTATTAATTATATTAAAATTTAAAAAATAAGTTATGTTTTCTTAACACACAAGTACCAAGATGAATACGTTATAAATTTTGCATATAGTAATTTTAATTTATAATGTATAAATACTGACGTATAGTTATGCAGTAATATTCCTGGATATCAAACTATGAAACGTTGCTAGAAATTCTTTCGAATTGCTTGACAAAATTTAAAACTGAATAAAATTTTTATATCCAGTGAATTATTTAATGTATTAAATTAAAATATATTTTTGTAATTTGCATCAGAGACCATGGAGGGGCAATGACTTCAGTTCCTCTTCTAGCGGCTGGGCCTCTTGCCCAGCTTTTATCCAGAGACTCTGCAGGAAGAATGAATTTCCCCTGAGCCATGGCGTATGTGGCTACGACGCTGTCGTTTGGCCTTCGTTTGACCTCTCCTACGACTCGTGTTTCTCATGGTTCACTTCAATTCGCTCCATTGAACAATGCGAAGCCGCTGAAATTTTCTTCGTCTAGTAGCATTTCTGGGGTTGCCTCACTTCTTCCACAGAAGCTATGTTCGCTAACGCCTCACCCTCAGAGGTTTCAGCCTCTCACCGTCGTATCCGCTAAAGGCTACAAAATGAAAACTCACAAGGTCTCTCTTCCTCTTTCCATCATTCTCGCTTTTATTTGTGATTTGGGGTTTTACGGTTTTTATTTCAATTTTAGTTCATTGGAGGTAAGGGCAAAGAGAAGCTAAGTCTAATGCTAGCTGATTACTCTTACAATTCACAATTTTTCTGTGGATTGCTCATAAATTGGATTGGAGGAAATGGCATTTATTATTGGGGACATTTTTTAAAAATATTTTTTCTGATTTGTAATTGAAAAATGTGTCCGTGTAAATTTTGAATTTCGCTAGTAGGCATCAGCAAAGCGATTCAGGGTGACAGGTCGAGGAAAAATTGTGCGTAGGAGAGCTGGAAAGCAGCATTTGCTGGCCAAGAAGAACACAGAGAGAAAATTACGGCTCTCAAAAATGGTGAGATTTGTTTAAACTTCGTCTATTTTAAGAGTTGAATTATCAAAGTGGACTGCTTCTTTAACTGATCACAAGTTCATCTCAACTTCATTTTGAGGGGTTTTAGAGTTCATTCTAGTTAGGTTGGAGATTGTTTAAACAAGGCAATTGATTGCAGAGTTCAGCTTGGAACGCTGTACAGTTCATTTACCATTTGACTAGTTGTGGCTTACCTCTATAAATTTTATATATACTCTTCTAACTAGTTCCTATACACTTGTAATCTGGACTTTAAAGATCTTTGATCCTGATAATTCTTAGTCTTGTGCCCTACCCTTCGTTACCAAAACATATGAACTAGATGAATCTTAAAGTTTTTATTAACTAGATGGTCAGCCGTGGTAAGATGACTGCTAGTACACTTTTCGAGCTATCAGATAAGGCGAGGTTGCAGTCACCTTGGTTATTCATTGCCATAGTTTGCTGGTACTGTAAGACTAGAATCTGTTTCAAGAAGTTATTTTGTTCTCTTTGGACCTCAAGAATTGGATGACCTTGTTTAGGACTAATGTCTTGTTTTTTTGGTCATGATGACTAATGTCTTGTCAACATTTTTGCTTTGGGTTGGGATTATTTTCTGGTTGAGAGTTCCTCTCATTGTGGGATTAAGATAATGCGAGTGGCCCTCTGGGCTTCGAAGAAAAAGTACGTGGGCTAGTTTCTCTGCGATTCCTTCTCTTCCTTTTTGACTTCACTTGAGGAATGAATGAAGGAGAAGGACCTATGGTATAATGCTCTGTGCTATGATTTTTAGTTCAAACAAGCTTGGTTTTGGCAGAATGAACCTTCTATTGTAACTACTAATGTGTATCTTTTCTTGTCTAAACATCAAAAGATATTCAACTAATAACGTGACAGAGGTTAGTAGGGGACTTCGATTATTGAAGTGCTTTACCTCACCACCATGGCTCTCAAATCGATTGCTTCGAGTTAAAAATAATCTTTGGATTAGTATCAAAGATTCCTGACGAAGTGGTTGGAAGTGTGATCCTTCTCACCCTCATTCGTTTATTGAAAATAAAGTTCCACTACAAGATATTGTCTGTGCTGTGTCCAGAGACTTGAAGCCCAATGGGTTTTTGTGCGAGTGCGTCTTGGAGATTTAACAAGACTATTCATGAGCCTTCACTTGACAGTTAAACCTTATGAATTATGGAGGCAATTTCAATTCAAATGATTGCTCAAGACTTGGAGAAGTTGTTTATACCGGAAATTTTGCCTCCGTAGAATTTTCTATCTTTGATCACCATGAGTATTTTGCTCTATATAATGCCACTAGAAATCATCAGGCTCACTTTCTCTGGTCTAACTCTGTTTTTGGTCATTTACAGCATCCCGTCAGCAGGAGTGATTATGATAATGTGATTGGAGCCTTGCCTTATCTTAAAGTGAACAGACAGGCTACATAAGAAGAGGTTATGTTTGTTTGTTGTAACTTCCTCCTCCTCCTCCTCCGAATTGCTTTCTATTTTCCCCCCCAAACAGAGTAACATAAGCCTGTGATGAAATTAATTTAACAAATGGCCAAATCTTGTAACAAGCGCTTTTAGCAACTTCATTAGTGTTTGAGACTGCGCTTTGGCTGATGATTCATTCCGTGAGGTGATGAGAATCGCACACTTGCTTCAGTTGTTTTAATTTTCAAGTAAAAATCGTGTGTTTTTTTTTTATCGCTTTATTGGAATATCGGTACACCATGACAGGACATTTGGTGTAGGTTAAGGGTCCGTTTGAATTTCAATTAAGTATAATTAATTATAAAAAAATAATTAATATGATTAATTTTAATTATAATTAATTACGTTATAACATGGTTATATTTGTATATTATTTTTATGAAATTAATTTTAAGAAAATTAAAAATATTTGGATGATTTAATCAAAATTAATTTTAGATATATAAATTATCATAAATATGTTACTTTTGAAAATTAAAATATTCATAAAGTTATATATAATATTATTAAATTTATTCAACTTTTAACAAGTAGGGTAAAATATATTATTTAACTTATATTCCTGATTAAATTAAGGACATGATTCTGCATATATATTTTTTTAATTTTTTTTAAATTGTGTATAATTATACATAGTTTATTTCCTATATTATTTAAATTTCAAGATTATTTAAAAAAATCTGCATGATAGACCACGTTTCAATAGCAACAGGAGCATGATGATGTTGCAAACGTTTTTGCAAGGAGGAAAAAACAGTATATATATATTTATGTGTGTGTGTGTGGATAATTTTCACTTTCCAGAAACCACAAGCCATGCACAGATACATAAGGGCATATTTGCGTTATTAAAATTTCACACGCCATTAATATGCCAATGGATAGAATCGATAGGTAAAAGCAAGAGTAAATCAAATTCCTTTAAAACGTAGTTTAGAGCCTAGAATCGATTAATGAAAAAGCATCTGCAATAACAATAACTTGAACTTGTTTATGCATTTAAACAGTTATTCTTTTACAGCACATAAACAGAGTAATGATCATGCCCATAATCTGAGTAATGATCATATAGTATGGTTTATTATATGTTTTTATCTCAATTAATAATTTTATATTGGAACCCTATATATATGGCATGCAATTTGAAAAATAAGTTGTACTCTTTTCCATCTTTATTAAAACATTTTTAATTATTTTACTGAAATTAAATAGACGTGATTAAATTATTAACTTTGTTTAAAAATAAATTAAATTTTTAATTTTACTCCTATTTAATGAAAAAAAATTCAAGATTGCATTACATTCTCATTTATAATTAATGAGCTTATACAAGGGTAATATTGAAAAAAATGTAATTAATACTTGACCAAATCTCTTATATTAAGGATTCAAAAAAATTCTAGAATGTGCTACAAATTGTAGTTTATTATAAATTTTATATTTTCGCATTGATTAGAAAAATATTCATATTTTTTTAAAAAATAACTTTATATCTAAACAATTCCTATTTAACTTCTGTACCAGGCCACCAAATTAATTGCTAAAAATTATTTTGTTTCTATCGTATCAAGAGCAGCCGCTTCTATTCGACAAATGCCAAAAACCCCAATAAAAACGTGCCCAGATATTTACAAGCATTTATGTTTTTTCTATTTATTTGAATATTTGATGAGATTAAGCAACAACATATCAGGCATCATCAATGTATAATATAAAATTTATAAAAAAAATTGTTCTATTTCATTATAATTGTTAACATCAACTCTTGCCACAGTATTTTATTGAGCTTGCCTGCATCATTTTTCTTTTTATATTTTCAAATTTTTTTTATACCTGTTAATACTTTTTTTTCCCCCTGAAACAGAGTTTAGACGATAAAGAAATTTATACTCTCTGTTGGAAAAAAAAAATCAATTTAATAGTTAATTATTATAATTTTTTCTTAACTTGACAAATTGTGTATTGACGCGGAAAAAGTATCTAGTTTATTTAATGTCAACATCATCAATGAGAATCATTCTCGGCTTTTCCTTCTTGTGATTGCGACAAAAGAAGATGTCGATAGTTTTGGCCTATACATTTAACCATAATTGGTTAATGTTCAAATTCACCTAACTTAGATGAAACTTCTTTTCGTCCACAGCTTAGACCTTCAGATATTTTAGTGGCATGCTAAAGACAAAAAACTTTAATTTAAAATCATTTGTTAAATTTGTTTGTGTTATCTAGTGACTTGACCATGAGATATATATATATATATAGTAATGGAGGAGATATTATATTTTATTTGTTTATTGTATTATAAAAATGACTATGACAGAACGAGGAAATATGTCACAAGTAATTATATATGAAACAAGATGAATTAACAATTTTTTAATAATATTTTTTAAAAAAATAAATGTGCCATTGCCTTATTTTTTATTTATGGCAAAAAATGTAAACGACTTCATCAATTAATGAGATGGTGTAATTAATTCATCCATTTGATATAAAATGTTGAATATAAAATGCCTAAATTTTTAATATTGCAGAGCATAGCGTTTTCATTTTCCCCATAAACCATAACAAATATGGTTGCTGGATGAGGCAACATATTACCTTGGCAGTGCTTGAGAAAGGGTGGGAGTCAAATTGAACCGTGATATTTGGATTGAAAAGGTCATATTAAAAGAACAATATCACAATTATTACTAGGTATAGGTTTTAGTCTAGTCTCAAATATTTAATCCAACAATTAGTATCAAAGTCACAGTTATGTGTTCTCTTTCTCACAAAGAATATCAGCTTATGCTTATATCGAACAGCGAATAGAAACTCTTTTATATGTTATAAGATCAATAATAAATGAATAAATTATTTTTTAAATTTTAGATCCAGAAACACATAGTCTCTTAATTTGTTTATTATTATAAATTTTTTTAACTTTTAAAAATGATATAATTTGGCCGCTATCGTTAACAAAAATTCACTTTAACTATTAATTAATTAAAGAATGACTTCAAATTTTAAAAATTTTTTCTGGTCATTTTTTCTATTTTTTTGAGTCATTGCCTATTATCTTAGGTCCTTTATTGTGATTTTTTTATTTTTTTGGTAATTTGTAAGATTTTTTTATGTTATTTTCTAGTCAATTAATGATCAAAATCAATCTTTGTTAATGGTAAGAGTTAAATTATACTATTTTTAAAAGTTAAAGAAATAATTTATACAATAAACAAGTTCAAAGTTTATGTACTATCGAACCTAGCGTTCATAAAATAATATGATCATTTACCCTAAGATAAATGAAACTTGGTGAAATTTATATTATCTTTTATTTATTAACAGCATAAGTAAATACATAATGAAAAAGAAACACTTAACATAGATGATTATTAAATATTCTGTTCATTCTGTCCCACTTTATAAGATAATTTTTTTAAATTGCACATAACAATAAAGTTAATTAAATAAAATTTGAAAACTCGTTTTTTGAAATTATAAATGTTTAAAAATACTCTACACTTAATACGGGAATGAGATAAAAAATATATTTAAAAAATAATATAATGAAAAGTAAAATATGGAATAAAATTTATTAACATATTATTATTTTTAAAATATTTACTTTGCTGATATCGGCCACATGGTAGTATTTTTGTCCAGGTTTAATTAACATGACAAAACCATCAACTAATCTTTATTAATACAAGATCTCTTTCCATGGCCAGCTGTTAATACAAGATTTTTACCATAAAAAATTTATAACTCAAATAACGCCAATCCATTTTTTTTTAAAAAAATCTCCTTTTAATTTTGGCCGTCAAATTAAAAATGTTAGACCAAACCAAACACCGACACCGCCGTCATTTAAAGCGAAAGATAGGACCCACATATGTCCATCAAATCATCGTCCCGACAAAGCACGATGAAATGACAAAAACCTCCAAGCTAATGGCGTCTTATCCAATTTCGTTAACATGATGATTCTAGAAGATGGAGAGAAATTTTAAAATTTACTAACTTTATTTAAAATTTTAAAAAATTTATTTTAAATGAAATAATTTATATTTTTTATTAAAAATAAAATTTTTTTTAATCAAATCTCATTTTAATAAAATAATTACTTATTTTTAATCTAACCTTATTTTTTTATATTTATCACTATCAAATACTCTACAATAAATATAAAATTAAATAATTACATTTTAAAAAATTAAAAATATTTTATATTTTTAAATATTTAATTTTTTAAAATATATTTTATATTTTAAATAAAGAGAGTAAATATGATTTTTTTTTTCCCTACAAATAAGACCAATAAAATAGTTGCAAAAAACATTAGGGTGTTTTCGGTAATTATGGAATCTGACACGCACGCGCCACACATTCATCACGTGCCCGCGGTAGTCTTTCCATCTTTTCAAGAAGAATCATCAAATATTATAATTACGGTTCCAAATCCACCTCCTCCTTCTTTTAATATATTTAGGGTTTTTGGAATCTCCGGTCTTTTCCAAGCCACCTCCTTATGACTACTACTTAATTCGTGCTTCGATTCTTGGGCTCGTTGAAATCCTGGCATTTCTTCGCTGCTCTTTTATTGTTTGTTACAAGTATTGATGGTTCAGCTGATGAAATCCGGGAATCTGCTTTCTGGCTCTGAAACGGCACCGTGCCTTGACAAGGTACCGGTGAAGTTGGAGATCGAGGACCCCCTGGAAGAAGAGCATGGGTCTCTTCGCAAACGTCTAAAACCTTCATCTGATCAATTAGAGGTTTGGAACTAGTTGATTTTATATTCGTTTAAGGTTTTTTTTTTTGGGCACATTTTAATGGTTTTATTTTAATTTAATTCAGGTTTTTGTTGGCACATTTTTAATTTTAGTTTGTTTGGTTGCTGAAAATGATCTGAATTTGTAATCAACATCGGAAGATCGTGTGTATGGCTTCCTGTATTTGTTGTTCAGCCTGGGATAGTCATTTATCTTCTTTGTTTGAGAGTGGAAGACCGGGAACTTATGAAGTAGTTCTTGTTATCATTCTCCAACTATTTTGTTCTCACTGGCAACTTATTGATGTTGTAGGGTCTTTTATAAGAGTTATGCTCATATTTTTCTTTTTATAAAATCTCAACTGATTTCGTAGGTGGTTATTGCTGCTCTGTAAATTCCTGTATCCCGGAAGAAAATTTCTGATTGTCCACCTATTTAGTATTTACTTCATATGCAATTTTATTGGCCAAAATCTAGTGGATGACGCCGATACGTGTTTACAATTCTATTGTCAACTAGTTACAAAAATCATCCTATTTGGTATTGGCACAAGTCTCTATTGAATTTTGAATATCGTTCCACATTTTGGGTAGTAATTGGAAAGTCCTAATTGTACTTAGTTGTCACTATGACGGAAAGATTTCTGTGTTTCTTTTATACATCTATATAGCAGTATATGGCATGCCTTTTGAGGCTTTAATTGTCTTTTGGTCTTGCCTGTATAAGTTATTTCACTAGGCACCTTTTATAGCACATTGCATGGAGTTTAAAAAATAAAAAATGAACTGTGGCGTGCTACAAATTTTGTATTATATATTGATATAAAATATGAAATAGTTATGATTGACAATATTCATGTACTATATTTAAACTATTTTGGGAGATCATGATAAAATCTTCCTTTTCCTAAACAAGGTTCACTCTCACAAGTTCACTTGCCATTATGAAGATCTAATGGTTTGAACATGTGAGATTTGGTGGCAAAGCTGTTGGCGCTAGACTCAGAGGTCACTGTCAACTGCATATTTATATGGCTAAGATATTAGAACATGCACTTTGATTACAAGAACTATCTGAATCCTTTTACTACTTTCTAACTGGGAGTTTTTTGTTTCCAATCTATAGGATGTAAATTTAATATGCTTATTTGAAACTTCTTTTCATTTTGTGCATGATCTCTCCAACTGGTTAGCAACTGAGTGCTTCAACACATGCATCTATTAGCTCTCCTTCCCCATTCAATATTCTTGATGAGCCTAGCCCTTTGGGTTTGCGCCTTAGGAAGAGCCCTTCACTGTTAGATTTGATCCAGATGAAGCTTTCCCAAGGTAGTATATCTATTGCAAGTACACAAAATGAAACTGTAAGCTCTGGAGTGAAGCAGGAGAGTGGAGGTGTTGCTGCATCTGGTACTACTGACAAGCTTAAGGCTTCAAATTTCCCAGCTTCACTTTTAAGAATTGGTTCTTGGGAGGTATGTTTAAGATGCGACATGTTTGTCCTTTATTTAGACAATCTTCTTTTTCCATTAATTTGGCCTGGCTGAAAATTCTATCTGTTGCAGTGTAAGTCAAGATATGAGGGTGACCTAGTGGCAAAGTGTTACTTTGCTAAACATAAGCTTGTTTGGGAAGTTCTTGAAGGTGGGCTTAAGAGCAAAATAGAAATTCAGTGGTCAGACATCATGGCAGTTAAGGCAAATTGTCCTGACAATGGACCTAGCACATTGACTGTTGTGGTAATTTATAGCTTGCCACTTGTTGTATAGATACAAAGACTTATGCTGGATTATATTTCAGTGAGTCATTTGTCCGTTTGTGTGTTGCAGCTTGCTAGACAACCTCTTTTCTTCAGGGAGACTAATCCTCAACCTAGAAAGCATACACTGTGGCAGGCAACGTCTGATTTTACTGATGGACAGGCTAGCAAGCATAGGTATATTATGCATTCACTGTTATCCTCTGATATGTGGACATGGGGCTTATATTTCATCTTTTGGTTTTAATTGGACAACCATGTAGGATATTTAAGTTCGGTAGGAAATATGGCGTGTAATTGACCTTGAACATCTGCTACGATTGGGAATTCTGAGAATGTTGTCCTGTCTTGTATAAAAGAAGAGAGTTCTAGTTGCAATGTGATATAGGATTTTTTTAAGGGGTTCTTTCTGTTATCTGGAACGATGTCATGACAATATATACTTTTTAAAGCTCTTTTATTTAGTGTTGATGTTTATTGGAAGGCATCTTTTATTACCTATAGCAATTTAAGTTTGCTCTATGATTGCATTTTTCATCAAAGTCCTTGTTTTCCTACATTTTTCGAGGTCATGATGTTTATAAAGTCCATCTTGTGTTATTTTTAGGCAGCATTTTCTGCAATGCCCCCAGGGGATGTTGACCAAGCATTTTGAGAAGCTTATTCAGTGTGATGTGCGTCTCAATTTCTTAAGCCGGCAGCCAGAGATAATTTTGGATTCACCCCACTTTGATTCACGGCCTTGTGCTTTAGAGGACCCCAGCAATCTCAAAGATCTCGACCAATTTTCTGCCGCACCTTGTTTTCAGCACAGAGGGTCACCTCACGCATCCCAATCATCGTTTAAGATTGAACGCAATGATTATCCTGTCATGACATTGGATCATCAATCGCAAGAAGCACCTTCCCCCAGTTCAGGTACTAAAAGAATTTGGCTCACTTTTTTGTTCTCTCATAATTCCGACACGCCCTAGCATTGAGAAAGTAAGACATAAAAAGAAGAGCCACACAATAAAATCACATCACTTGGCTTCATAATAAGAACACAATGGAAATGCCAAGTTCTTTCCTGGAGGACCTCCGTTACCAATGCAGTTTCAGGCTTTTTAGTAGCTCTACATGGTCTAACTTGACAATCTCCCTTAGGATTTCCCATATCTACATGTCCCTGATGTCATCAATGGACATTATGGATATGATGCGGATGTCATCAATGGACAGTCTGTCTAGTGTCTACATGCTTGGCTTCTTGATGAACTACAACTGACTAGCCAGTTGACTCATTTCTGTAACTTTTTACTAGTCCATTTTTGTAGGCGGCCTTCGTATCTCTAAAGCTGACTTTTGTTTGTGTTCATGCATGCTTTTAGTTGGTGTTTTATTTTTCATTAATTATTTCTGTCTTCTCCATATTAAGTGATGGACTTTCTTGCAATTGAAGGGAGTGGAAGTTCTGAAACCGATTCGAAGCACCCAGGAAATTTGGATCAGATAATATTTCCTGGACTCCACCCTTCTATGTCGATGAGTGATTTTATGAACCATATCGAACAGTGCCTTTCAGAACAAATAACCTCCAAGAATCCAACCTTTTCCATTGGAAGACCAGAGTACAAGGATATTCTCGAAGACATCACACAACAACTGCTCAATGACAATCAAGTTACAGCAGACTCAGATGAGAAATCGCTTATGTCAAGGGTCAATTCTCTCTGCTGCCTTCTGCAAAAGGACCCTTCAGTTTTGCAGAACTCAAATATAACCGATGCATCCACTGCTCAGGGCTCTCAAGGTGGATCAGATATTCAACTCAACCACACACTTGTATCGACACGGGACAACGAAAGCACCACATATGTTAAGGTTTCTGAAGAGGACACGAAGGATGTTTGTGATGGTAAGCAGGCAACCAGTATGTCCAGGAAAGATTCGTTCGGAGATTTGCTTCTCCATCTCCCACGAATCGCATCTCTTCCGAAGTTCTTGTTTAACATATCAGAAGAGGATGGAGACAGTCAAGCCAGATAGTTTTTCTCATGTTTGACATCATTTGTCACTTCTCTAAATGGGCAAGAATGGAGGTGTATGGCAAGCTTTCTGATCATTGTAATATCATGCCTCCGAGTCTACGTGTAAGCTTAATATTTCTACCTTGGGCGACCACTAGGATTTTGAAAATTTGTTTTGATGAGAAGTCCTAGTAAAGCTCCCCCTGTAAAAAAATGTGTAATTATAGGTGTTTACGCGCTACTTTTGTAACGTATGTCTTGCCTCCAGTATCTCGTTAATAGTGTATCGGCTTGCAAGTAAATTATGTAATATGTGCCATCTAATTAAATCTCAGGTGTGCGGTTATATGTTTTAGCAATCATATGTTTGTACACCCTGTGAAAGGGCAGAAAATGGGGACCTGACAACTTTTCCGACTTAAAATTGCAGCACCTTTTAACATTAATATTTTTTAATTAAATTGCGCGACATTATTATATAGTCTTTTTTATTAGTTATCTTTTAAAAGGTTTTTTTTTTATAATTTATATATGTCACTTTTTCTTCTTTTTGTGTGTGTCATTTTTAATGTTTAACTCCAGAACTATATTTTAACAAATTTTAAAAAGAAGTGTAACGTTTTAATTCTCAATAAATTCTTTTCACATATCAAATCATTCTTTTTTAAATTTAAGAGTAAAATTGAAAAGTGATTTATTTTTAAGGTAATTTTATTATTCTAACTAACTTACCTTGATTTTGATTAGTTAGTTAGAAATAACTTATAAAAAAGATTGGGGGAATATATGGGAATGGAAAATGTTTCAAGAAAACTACATAGAATCGAAGGAAATAATAATTTTTATTACTTATTTAATCACATATACATAATTTCAGTTGTTATATATGACCATGCATAGATGTATAATTTGGGATTGCGTTTTCCATAATTTGAGTATTATACTTCCCAAAGATTTGGGAAAATGAATTTTAATGTTTAGAACTCATAAATAACGCAAATTCCTAAAAAATTTATATATTTCCATAAAAAATGGGGAAAAAAAAGGAGTTGATAACTTCTCTATGTGTATTGCAATTGAATCACATAATTTAGCAGCAAACATGATTTCATCAAAGTGAAACAGACAATACATTAATAAAAAAAATGTACATATCCATTTGTTTTTTTTTTTTTTGGTCGTAAAGGTGAGTGTTTCGTGTCATGAGTTCCTATAATTACTTTTACACTCTTACTTTTACCTTCGTGTGCGCGCGCGTGTCTCTATACAATCGTGCCTTGTAGGATTAAAGTGGTTTAATATTTTTTTTCCCCCACGGTGCTTTCTTTCAAGACGTGTTTGACACTATGTATTAATAAAATTAAGCATTTTTTCTCTTAAAATATTTAAAGGAGTAAAAATCACCCTTCATTAATATTTTATTGACTCTACCATTTTTTATTGATAATACATGTTCTTTGAATTATAAAAACTTAAAGTTTTGTTAAAATAAAATTTAAAAAATACAGTCAAAATATTTAATTTTAAATATTATTATTAATAAATATTCATAAAATTTATAAATTATTTTTTTAAATATTAATAGTTCAAACTAATTTCTTCAAAATTTATAAATAACTTGTAAATATATGCAAAATTTATAAATAATAATAGTAACTAATATTTTCAAATAAATTGTACAAAAGCAAGAAAATTAATACTCCCTCCATTAAAAAATATAAAGCATTTTTAATCAAATCTCATTCTAATAAAATAATTATTTTTCTTTAAACTAATCATATCCTTTTATGTTTACACCTATTTGATAAAGTGTTTTATCTTAAAAAAATATAAAGTAACATATTCGATAAGGTCACTTTTTTTTTAAAAAAATAATGATTATATCTTAAAAATTTAAAATAATTTACATTTTTTAACATGCAACCATTCAAAAAATGTCTTACGTTTTTAATGGAGGAGTAATAATTAAGTCCTTTAAATATTTTAGGTCATCCTTTATAACTTTTTGATTAATTAGTGATCTTTCTTTAAAATATTGTATCACTCAAATTTAATATTTTAATATTTTATAACTTTGTATTAAAAAGGAGGCAATGAACCTCCAAATAAATGGATAAAAATTAATATTATCATATTAAATTTGTAACTCATTTGTCAATTTTAAAATTGAAAGTATATTGCACTATATGAAAACACAGATTAAAAATAAATAACACTTCAATTCTAAATATCTATTAATTTAACAGTTAATTGATTAAAAAATTACAGAAAATCTCATGAAAAATTTAAGAAACTTAATCAATATTCATTTTCTTAATAAATTTTAAATATTTTAATAATATTTTTTAAATTTTATTTTAAAAAAACTTTAAGGTGTTTAATGTTTTTAAAAAGAGTTTAAAAATAAATTAATACAAAAAACATGTCATGTCAGAAAACAAAAGAATTAAAAAATCATTAAGAGAAATTTTTGCTTTTTTAAAAAATGATTTAAGGACTAAAGTGTTCAACTTGTTAGTACAAAATACATAACACTTTACAAAAAAAAAAAGTATAGGAAAAATGAAAATATTTGACGATGATAGACCAAATGACATGACGCATATATGCATAACATATTAAAACCTCTACTTGGCAAACATAATAATTGCTTTATTTCTCTCTGCACGAAATAATTGTATCGTTTTGAAATTAAACGAAGAAATAAACAAAAAGAAGTTAAAACTAGGAAGACAAGCTGAGGCAAAAGACGCAGGGACCATGAGTGAGGTCCTGATCGCCAGACTGAAATCGCTGCAAGCATGAACTGTGATAGACATGACCGCAGGGGAAAACTGACACTTCAGGATAAAGATAAGAGTCCTCTCCCTGTTCTCCAAAGGGTGAGACTGCAACATCTTTCTCACATAATTCACACGTCCAACCCAGTAGGTGTCGTTGACTCTCTGAACAGAACCACTAGGTGTTAGATGTATATATAACCTTGAAAAATTGTCCAATGACCAACATAAAGTTCAATTAATTACATTCAAGTCTCACTAATTATTATAAAATCTATTAACAATTAAAATAAGATCATTTATTTAATTTTTTTTTAAAAAGAATTACATTCAAATATCACTAATTATTATAAGGTCTATTAACAATTAAAGTAAAGTCATTTATTTAATTCTTTTTCAAGAAGAATTACATTCAAGTCCTACTTAATTTTTTTTTATGATACTTCAATGTGATTCTCTTTTTTTTTTTTGTCCATGCTATTGGGTTTTTTTCAATTGACAGACACAAGCAGAAAAACCTTTTTAAAAACTGTTATAATACTTTGCTGGAAATTAAAGACACCTCTATGTGTGTGTCATGTTAATCCAGATAAATCTCAGGTGCTAGTGAGATATGTACCTTTAGTTATCCCATTAATTAAGTCATATACATGTATATGTAAGTTCACAAAACATGACTAAGAAGCAAAAATATGAAACTATATTGTTAATTTTTCGCATGGAAGAAATATAGTTAAATTAAGACCCAAAAATAGGGTGTACCTTCGCATCTAATATAGCACGGGTGAGGTTCCACAACAGGCAGGTCATCGGCATCTTCTAGATGTCTATTTTTAGAAGATTCTTCTGAAAGTCTAACATTATTTTTCATTTTCTGATCTCGCGGAACTTGAGAAGAAGATGAAGCATTATTGGCTTCACTCTTAGGTTGACCAAATCTTTTGTTGGCAATTATCCGTTTCTCTCTGTAATAATCATGGTTCTTTGAATGTGATTTTGTTCCGTTGCTTTTGTTTGGACCCTCTGAAAGTTTCCTTGATCTGTTCTGCCCAATTGTGAGACTAGATGATGAAATGTGGACTTCACTATCCCCCATTACTTCAGAGCGATTGCTGTGACGCGTTAAATGTTGACTTTTTTTATCTGCAGAAAGCAAGAAAAGAAGTGAGATGCCTGTACAAGATTTTTTTTTTTTTTAAGAAGCTTTTGCGTATAAGTGACTTGGCAACTGTGTGAAAGGGGGTTGGCATTTTAAACACACGCAATATATATAATTTATAAAAAGATATGGCAACTCATTTTTCTCATTATGCACACCTCATAAGACACAGTATTTTTTCTAAACAAATGTTCTAGTTGCGAGCTTAACATTCCATTTTTTTTTTTAACTAAAGTCTATAACATTAACAATAAAACGATTACACAAACAAGCCTTTTAATGTGTAACACTTCAAAGGCCCAAAAGACACCCAAGTATTACATACTCATTCCATTGTGGAGACTGAATTGTCTTGGAATCTCTATGCTTTAGAGTTATCTTTAATTATATTTAATTTGTTGACCTTTTAAGGAACTCACCAAGTCACATTTATATATTTCCCTTCTTCAGCAGGCCGCAGATATATATATATATATATATATATACAGCATTGAATTTACCTGCTTGATACTTGGAACCAGTTACTCCATTGGGCCTAGCTTGTGAAGCCTCAACTTCTTTATCCCTGCTTCTCAGTCTCGTAGCAATTGGTGCATCATCGAGATTCAAGAGTTGAGCCTCGCTCTCCTTTCTTTGAGGAGATGAAGCACATTTCCCGAACCATTTTCGGTTTCTCATTTTTGTTCAGACAAATTTATCTGTACAGTTAACAAGTAGTAATTTGCTAAGTAAACGCTTCTCCAAAGTACACGACCATACATTAATAGACTAACGAAAGACCACTCATCACAATAACCGTGCAGTGTCAGTGCGTGTGTAATACGATTCCGCAATTCACAATGCAACTTTATTTCCTTCTTATAACTAAGAAGAAAAATATTTCTGGGCAGAGCAAAGATTTGTGTATGGAATATGAATGAGATTCAATTAATTTTATTTTAGACATTTAAGATTATTTTATCAGGGTTGTTTGAATAAAGATATTGAATATCCATTAAATTATTTAGAGTTTAATTAGATTTTCTTATTAGTATCTTTCTTACGATCATTTTAGATTTTTTTTATTTTCAATAAATAGAATATCTAGATATATATAAATTTAGATTATCTTTGTTATCTTTTAGGATTAGATTAAGATTTGATTTATTATTACTTTTAACATTTCTAGGATTCTATAAATAGTTTGAGGATTTTTCGATTGTATTTAAATTAGTTTTGAATAAATTGAGTTGAATATTAAATTGTCTCATTTCTCTGGATTTCTCTTTTTTATCTAATTCTCCTCTCTCTGTTTTACATCGGCGGTGGTTTATGTGGATAAAACTTGTTTTCACATCCGGGCCTAAACAAACCTACCAATATTGGGCCAGTCTAAATATGCATGATCTACCTGAATTCCCAGCTTTGTAGGTAAGAGCAGAAATATTGAGACTATGGTTATCTATAATGTTATAGATATCACTTAATGATAATGTGATTATTTTCATGATCTCTTGAATACCATAACAATAACTTGTAGTTTCAAAATAAAGGAGATGTAGTGAGTAACTATTATCGTAAATTCGTATTACTGCCCGTATTTACATTAAGTATAGAACATTAAAACTGAACATGGAGGGACCAAAATCCTTTTTCAACCTAATTTAAAAAAAAAAAATCACTGACATATTATTAACTCGAGAGAGAGATAATATTGTTAGTCCATATATATTTATTGGACCGGAAAAAATCACTAGCACGAAGGAAAATTACCAGGAAAACGAAGTAAGATCAAAGAAATCCCAGATTGCGCGAAGAAAATCTTGTGCCGTCAATCTATTCTATTTCGAACCAAAAACTGCGCAAGAAAAAATCCAAACTAGTCAGTCTCTCAAATCCTCGACGGTAAATAGAAACGTCGGAAAACAAAATCGGAACAAGATTTCTGCAATCACATACCAAAGGCGAGAAAAGATTAAATGTTTCTCGTCCAGGGAAGAACAACGACGGCGAGGACAAGGACAGAGAGTAGGTATTTCGCTTGCTCAGCCCGATAGCTTGCCCTCGGAGTAGCGAGCTATGTGAGATTATGAGGGGTTTTTAAAGGTTGTGTTGTGGTGGTGGGACCTATAATCTACATCCCAGAGCAAGTTTTTTTTTTTTAACAAAAAAAAATGAACCGGTCAAGTAAAATAATATATTTTATTATTTAATAAAAAACATTAAAAAATATAGTAGTTAAAATCAATAAATTTTATAATTTAATATTAAAATGCACTAAATCTACTTTAATAACGTTTATTTATAAATAAATTTTATTAAAATAGATAGATAAATAATATCTTGATGAAAAAAAAATCAGAATCAATAATATTTTATTTGGGAAAGTAAAGCTGTAAACCAACAATATTTTAATATTATTTTTTTAACAACAAAGATCTTAATCTTAATTAATTTAAATTCTCAAGGTTGCAACATCTGGACCTATCTCTCCAAACCTATCTTTCTTCTCTTTCACGATGTTTCGTTTTCCTAGACCTATCTTTCTTCTTCCCAAACTCTTCCCGCCTCCTCTTTTAATATGCAATATTAATAATATTAAATTTCATCGATGACACGTTTATTGAAGAACGTTCATGGATCTGATAATTTCAGGGCAGATCTAACTGATTTGTGACTAAAGGAATGCGTCTATGGCGATGGTTTGCAGCAAGAAAACCTCTCTTCTTCTTCTTCTTCTTCTTTATTGCTGGGTTTCTATTTTCTGTTCTTAAAACACTGCAATTCGCGGACGAAGAGTGCTTCAAGGCTGGGTCAGAGTTTCTTTCTTTTTTTGTTAAAAAAAGCCGAACGATGCCGTTTTGCTCTTTGGAGTGAGAGAAAAAAATAATAAGCATGGACTGGATGAACCACTTAACCGATCGGTTTTTTTGGTTCTTAACTGGTTTGATTATCCTCCTAGTCTGCACGTATCAACCGGCCCAAACCATTGATCGATTCATCGATTCATGGTTGAACCGATCAATTCAGTCTAGCCTAATTTTTAAAACCTTGCGCTAGAGTCATATGGTCGTAGTTTCCCTAATTAATGATTAATCAATATTTATTAAATTTAATTGAGCTGGAATGTATTATTTAATTATTAATATTAATGACTTTCATTCAATTGAAATAAGAATAGATAAATCATACTCTTAGCCTAGGACCATTACTCCCTGTTTAGAAAATTAGCTCTAGTGCACTCATTTATATAATCAAGACTATTTTAAAATCTTTTTAATGTGGAGCATAACAATTAACTCATATAATCGGTGGCGTTCGGTCCTGTTGATTCAATAAAACTTGGATCCATTTTTGATATTATTTTATTGCGGGTCATTATTTTTTTTTAAAAAAAAAAACTAGCTCAATAAATCATGCAGTGCACTTGTTTATATGGCTAAGATCTTCCAAAGTCCTTCCAATGTGTAATGTAACACATGACATATTTCTTTCTTGCTCCTCTAGTTAGCTGATAATGGGTCAATACTAGATCTACAATATTAAAAGCAAAAAACTTTAACTAAAATTAGTATAATGTTAATCAATAATTATAAGTCGTGTTATAATGTTATAAAAAAAGAAAGAAAAAATTAAGTATAACTTTAACTATTATATATAAAGTTACAGTTATAAAATATTGAAGTGATAGTTATAAATTATTGATAAAGTAGTTGTGTTAAATTTCGTTAATAATGAATGATCAATATATGAAGTTATAATTATAAAATATTAAAGTAATATTTATAAATTATTGATGAGGTGATCATATATAATAAATATTAAACTTGTAATGTAAAATCAATTTAACTATTGAATATATAAAATTATAATTATAAAAAGTTAAATTAATAATTATAAATTATTGATGAAATGATTGTAAATAATCTAATTGATGTAATGTATTTTTAATAAAGACATTATTATTTTTGCACCCTAATTTTAAATTACACTCAAGTTTTAAGGGACTTGATTATGGTTTTTAAATTTTGATGAACTTGTTTGTAAATAAATGTGTTTTATGAGGTCTATACGTTATTAAAAAAACATGTTATAATTATTATATTAAAAATTGTTTAATCGATGTAATATAAATAATATTTTTCACTCCTCAATTAATTCATTTCCTCTAATTCTAATATTAATGTATATTATTTAATCTAAAGGTCATGTGATAAAATTAATAATTGATTTTTAAAATTTTTATCAAAAACGTGGAAATTATACAATACCTTATGAGTTATGACTGTTGATAATGGTGTATATTACATAATTCCTTTATTTCTTTTTAAATTTTAGATCAATGTTTTAGATAAGTAATTCAGAATTTTTTTTTCATAAGCTGTAAATTCTAGTTCTAGATTTTGATATTTTTATACAATTTTTTAATTTTTTGATTACATATTTGTATTTTTAATTAAGGTTTCAAACAACCCTAAATTATTAAGCCTCTCTATTGAATCACAAGTTTTATTGTTTTACCGACAATAAATGTATCAATATGTCCCTTCCCCACACAAATCGTTCGGAACTTGAATTATAAATTTATAACCCTTGTATATAAAATAAATCTAGTTAAAAAAAAAGCAATTTGTCCTTTATCCTTTCTAAAATAATTAGTACTCTCTCCGTCTTAAATTATAAAATATTTTTAAATAAAATTTTACATATCAATAAACTTTATTAAATATAATTAATAAATTTATATTTTTAAAATAAAAATATAAACTTTTAAAAATACCTGTCATTTATTACATTGAAAAGAAAATAAATAAAAATTAACTATAGAAAGAGAAAGGGTAATATTAAAATTAGTACATTTAATAAAATCTTAATTTACCTAAAGTATCCTATATTTTAAAACAAAAAAAAATCCTTCAAAAATACCATATAATTTAAAATGAAGAGAGTATTTATTATTAGCGGAAGATACTCATATGTTAAATAATTAAAAAAAGCATCAATGTTTTTTACTTGAATTTAGAATGTTAAAAAAAGTCACATTTTTATAATTGATTAATACTGTGATTTATTCACATTGATATTGATATTGATTATGTTTAACCTTTAACAATGAGATATACTAATTTATGATCGAAAAAATATATCTGCCACAGAATAAACTATAGGGACCTGATCCAATAGATATATTTTCCTTTGTAATATGTTAAATAATTTTGCATTATATATACTCCCTTTATTAAAAAATATAACACATTTTTAATTAAATCTCATTTCTTAATAAATTAATTACTTGTCTTTAAATTAATCTTATATTTTTATATTTATCTCTATTTAATAAGGTATTTTATCTTAAAATAAATATAAAGTAATTTATATAATAGGAGCACTTTTGAAAAAAAAATTATTATATCTTAAAATATTAAAAATATTTTATATTTTTTAATATTAAATTTTTTAAAAAATATTTTATATTTTTTAACGGATAGAGTAGTTTGTACCTAAAATAATACTATAGATCATGAGAATCCTATAACCATCACATTTGACCCTTCATATGTTCGATCCAATGCCGTCGGTAACACTCCCTATATTTTAGATGGCAAAGCACTTTTTACGTCCCAGGATTTAGAATGAGATGAATTATCATTTAAGCGAAGGGACTGGAATATTCATACCTTGCTTGAATAATCATAACCATGAATTTATTTGGTAAAATACTTAAGTATGTAATAATGAAGTTTATTTACATTATTTTTTAAATATAAATACCATAATCTTGTTACCATAATAAGGCAACAACGCCAACCTTTTTTCTTGTTTTTCTGCATTTGTTATTTTTATTTTATTTCGAAATATTTTCATACTGGTTTATATATATATAAATTAAAATATTTTAAATTTAAATTTTAGTTTATAAGAGAAGAAAATTAAGAAAGATAAATACCATACACATAGAATTAAATTTAAAATTTGAATATATTCAAAAAACCTCTTTTTAAAATTTTTTTTATTAGATTAAAAATTATTTTTATATGATTAAAAATATTAAATACGAGAAAACAATGAAAAAAATACTAAGAGGGAAAAAAGGGCATGGATATGAAAAAGTTCACAAGGACATTTTGGTAAAAATATATTGAATTTAAAGTGAGTGACATGATTCTTTTTATTTTCCAAAGGCATCTCCACTTTTAAAGTTATAGTAATCCGTGTTTTTGGAAGAGACCATTCTATACCTCTTAAAAGTAACCAAACATAAGTGATGTAAGAATGGAAACATAATTACTATTCCATTGTCTAACATTCTAGTCACCAAATGGACTCTAATCGAGAGTTAGATGTTTGATTAAATATGAAAAAAGTAAATTAAAACATTACTTAAGAAATAGTATATTAACTTACGGCATATTATACATGAAGAAAATTTTTAATTTTTCAAATTTGTCTTGGCTATCATCTTGATACATGTAGAAATATTTGGTTCTTCAAATTTGTTGGAACTATCAACTTGATCCTTGAAATTTAATCTTTATGAATTAAATTTTTGAAAGTTTCAAAATCATATACAATTAATCTTTATGAACTAATTTTAAGCGAATCAATAAATAAGGTAAATTCAATTGACCAAAAGTTTCATCGAGATAATGGATGAATATCTTTATTATAACCCAAGAACTTCTATACTAAGTTTCAATTATGTAATCAAAGCTACAGACAACTTGATTATGAAAACGTGTTTTGACGTAAAAAAGAGGCGAGAAATAAAATTATGTCTAAAATCTGATTTTCATATCTGGCCGCTCCTTTAAAAACCGGAGTGCAACTACTATACAAGGGACTTGGAGGGAAAGGACTAAAAATGTGGAAACTAAAGGAAACAAGAAAATTTATGAAGATAAACCCCCAAATAATCAACTAATGGCTTATATAATATTCACATCTAATAGATAATCACGACAGGAAGAAATATGTACAAGGAGAGGAGACTTAAACAGAATTTGGATCATCCTGTACAGAAGGTTAACAAGTTCAACTCCCATGAAGAACATTTCACCTCTGAAATGTCAAGTTTATTTACAATTGAATTCTTCTTCTTCCATCACGTCTTATCTGCTGCCAGGATAAAGCAGGATGGATCAGGAAGGGGATGCTGAATGAATGATGGTATCGGGTAACATTGCTACTGTCACTACAAAATATTCACAGCCAACAGGGAGACCGTATGGGTTTGAAGTTGATCCTGAATTCAGACTCAACCGGTCCGGCCCCATGTCAGAAATCAGTTGATCAGCTCTGCTCTGCTCAGTCCGAACCGACGTAACGGGCCGAGCCTTCACAATTTGGCGCTCAATATGCACAATCTGTCCAACAATATAGTTAGGCCGGCTTGGAAGATGGTCAGCAAAGAGGGCCACAGATTCGGAAGATAAATAGTAGTTAGGGCAGGTTCTACTAATAGCCTCGTAATGCCCAGCTGAATTGTGGACAAAGGCAGCAATCTCATGAACTTCTAGACGACCAAAAGAAATCTTTTCTTTATTTGCCTGAAGAAAAATCACAGGCGAAAAGTAAGTCCCTATTAGATGATTTTTCAGCCACAATAAGCTAAATTCAGAATCTGGAATTTCCAACAAGGCCAGAGGCCTCAGAACAAAAACCATAAATACAAGTAAAGTTCTATATGCAATCACAGCAAAGGCTGCTCATGCTATTAAGCGAACATCAGGCATTCAATCTTCCTGGCTCCCAAAACAACCAACGGTCCAAAGAACACATATTAAAGACATAATGAAGACATAAAGTTACCTGCTTCTCCAGTTGATGCTTATTATAGTAAGTTTTGACCTGATCCGTTTTCTCCTCCAGTTCCTTCCGAAGCTGTTCGTTTGTAGCTTCAATTCTAGAGTACTTCTCAAGCAGCTCTTCACGGTGCCTCGACAAGGAACTGACTTTATCAGCTAACACACGAATGCATTTTCGGAACTCAGCTAAATCATCATCATCTCTATCATTAGTGGAACTGGGGAAAAAAAAAAAATTGCACCCTCGTCAATCTTGATATATATAAGTCCCTGAAGATTTTTGTTACTTCTATTACCAGCACTCTGCCACCACAATGCAATTTTCTCTTCTTAAAAGAGGGAACAGGGTTATACATGAGAGAGAGGTCGGAGACAATTCTGCCCTGAGGCATCAATTAGGAAAGTGATGAAATCATCTTAATTAGGCAAGTAACCAAAGCAAGTATCTTACCTGGCTAATGACTGTGCTAAACCACGCAAGAGATCAGCAAAACCAGCCACACCGCCAGGAGAATAAACGCAGCTTTTAAGTCTCTCAAAAAGGCTGCGCATTCTCAGAAAAGATGCACGCAGCAAAGCATACTCTGAGGCTCTTCTATCGGCGGAACTTTTTTGTGTTTGAGCTTCCTCCCTTGCTTCATGCAAGCAATTCTCCAAGTGAGCACAATTCATCTGTCGTGCAAGAGGAACATTAAATTAAAAAAATTGGCTAGATTCATTTGGACCATGGACCCCATCCTGAGATAAGTAATATCATACAAAACAAATGATGTCCTGAAAATAATTATGGAAAGTGAAAACTAGTGCAAAATGTCTGTATGGAAAAGAAATTAAATTATGTATAGCTCATCCAAAATGCCTTCTACCCTTGTCCAAGTTTTGGAAGCTTAAATACAAATGAAAAGTATAAAGTAACCATTCACTAGAGTTAGCATTTTGTAGTGCTTCCCCTTCCATAGCTCCAACTAAAACAGTTCAAAATTTTGATTTGGTTGGCTTTTACCAAGTAGCCCGCTCAATCCAACCAATCTTCTCTGGCCATTTAAAAAAAAAAAAATCCAACCAAGGCTCAAGCTCAAGGCTAATAAAAAACAATATAAACCCTATGAGCTAGACTCATCAACTAGTAACCTTGCCATAAGCTGGCAACTCTCCTAGGCTTGGTTTTCGCAAGCCTTAGATTTAAAAGTAGAGGCCTAGGAAATCCTATGATTTATCAACTTGTATTATCATTTAACTTGAACAACAAAAACAGCAACAGAAACAGAATAATGAAGTTAAGGTGAGGATCAGCAGTGGATGATGGAGGCCAATGGAAGTGGACATATGAAACTATTTTTATTTCTGGTTTTTGACAGAATGATTTAAACAACTTCTCAGATGAAATACCAAAGAAAGAATGCACATTTAAGGGCCCCTTTGTTATTAAATGAGATTGGAAAGTGGAATGGAAATGGGAAAGCTCGCTCCCATAAACATGGGAAACTCTCTTTCCAAGAAAAGCACTTTGTCATCTACCGAATACAACTAAAAATACTTCCCCTTGTCTTTTCCGTTTCCTTCAATACCTTGACCATGTACCAAACTGATAGAGTTGGTAACACCAGTGGTCAAGAGATTTATCCCAAGGCTTATAACTCTAGGATTAAAATGACAGAGACAAGTCAGGTTAGGTGTAGCCAAAGGTATAGGTAGTGATGGTTGGGGCAATGACTACTTTTTTGGCTTTTTAAATCTGTCCTATCGTGCAGAGAGAAAAGAGGTGTGGAGTATTTTGAAAATTGAGGGCAGTGAGGAGTGTTCTAGCCTCTCGAATGCCAGGTTGTGGGTGGAGGAAAATCATCTTTCTTCATCACTTTTTCTTTCTACTCTAGCGTGTGCTTGTGAGTGATTTATATACTGAGTGGCTGTTTGAGAGTGTATTTTGTGTTGTTTCATCTACTCTGTAATTGTTGTCTGATCGTAGTTTCAATTTATTTTGCTTGTAATTCAACTTGGTTATTCAGCAAAAGAAATTTCAGTCCCATTTGTAGTTTATTTTCCAGTTTTTGCTTGTTTTAAGTTTAACAGAGTGGAGGGTTCCATCACAAATACAGCCTAAATGTAAGATAGGATGAAAAAGAGACAGAGATTGATAGAAATTTAGTAAACAGAAAGAAAAACACTGAACAGATGAAGAGAACAAAGAAACTGCTTTTGAGTAAACGGAATTGGCACCCCAAAATTATGTACATCATCAAGTTTACCTGAGATTCATCAAGGAGCTTTCGACTTGCTTCTAACTCCGCTCTAAGGGCAGCAACCTCCTCCTGACCGGCTTTAAGCTGAGCTTCAGCTTCATTTAATTGTTTAGACTTGTCTGCAATTGCACTTTGTAGCTCCAACAACTTATCATCATTAACTTTGGAATCCAAGTCTGAAGGAGCTACTGAATCACAAGGTACAAGGTCCTGAGGCAAAGGCATGCTCTCAGCAGTTGAACTGTTTGTTAGTGACATACCCAATTGCCCCACTATTTTCTCTTTCCTATCTTCATCCACACCTTGCACTTCTTCACGAGGAGGCTCCACCATAGATGAATCCAATTGTGAGTTTTGCACTCCAGAGGAATCCAACATATTTTCATCTACACCAAGATCTAAATCTTTGCCTGTATGAGCAGTAAACAGGCTGCCAAGTGTTGCATTCAAAGAATTTGAGATGCATGAAATCTCATCCATGGGCTCAGTTGTGGATACGCAAGGCATGTGGGTTTCACCACTCACATATTCTGGTTTGCAGTTATTTGCCTTCTCGGCCAGAAGGGCAAAGTCAGCTGCATCATTTACACTGGAAATATTTTGCCCTTGCACATACTTATCAGACAATTTCTGCTCCAATTCTTGGATACGTTTCTCATAGGAGACACACTGCATATGCTTCATTTTAAGCATGGATTGAACGTGTTTAGCATATTCATCTTTTAAGTGCAGGGCTTCAGCTGTCTTCTCCGCAGCATTCTTCAGTATTTTATCCAGCCTTTCATCATCCAGTACCTCATACTCTATCTCAGGACAGCGAGAACAAATTAAGGCTATGCTAGAAGCAAGCTCAGCTTTCAGTTTTGCATTCTCAACTTCCATCTTGCTAGTCCCAGCAATTTCTACCAAGTCACTGCCATCAAGGAACTCATCAGAATCATATCTCTCAATGGAGTCAGCAGGAATGCCTCCAGCCTCAGCTGACAGAGAACTATCACCTGACAAAGCAGATGAACCTTTGAAGCTTCCATGCTTCTCAAGCTTGGAAGCAATCCCAGTCAGATACTCAGGAGCATAAAAGTCCACATCTGATATGTCAATATGAAGCAGACCACCATCAAATGGAGCTATATTGACATCACATTGGCTAGGGGTGTCAAATAAGCCCATAGATGCCAAGACTTCTCTAGGTATGCATGAACTATGTGCTCTCAAAAACTCCTCCCTTCTCCTGATCTCAACCTCCCGCTTTCTAGCAAGCTTCTCAGCCAGTTGTCCTGCCATGCCCATGTACAGCTTCTTAGAGGCCTCTCGTCTCACAATTTCCGCAAGGCAAGCCCTATATGCAGGACCAATACCATGGAACAACCTTAAATCCATGAACAAGTCATCCTGACGAACCATGGCCTCTTTGAAGACAGGAAACTGTAGCTTCTGGTCTTTGATGAGATAGGAAACATAAGTTATGTTTTGCATGTATTCATGCACAAACATGTTCATTTCATTCTTCTTGTCCTGGCAAAAGCGAAGGAGCTCAGAAATAGCATCATGACAAGTCTCCATCCTAGGCAAGTGATTCTTGTCATGAACATCATACATAGGGCCCAAGGCTGAAACTGCATCATGAGGTCGAAGTGAGGATGATAATTGGCCAGACAGACAATCATTCACCAGTTTCTTTACTGTATTAACATCTTTACTGCAGAAATTCAAAAAAAAAAAAAATGTTGATTGATAAAGTGCGATGATATTATAGATTACCAAGTATATCAAAAGTCAGAAGATAAAAGAAATATAAACATATAGAATATGTAAATACAGCAAAAAGGGCTTTCACATCGTAGCAAGACTTTAAAAGATAAAGTAGCCAACATTCGGTGATATTTGATGCACGTGAAGCAAATTTTAATCAACTGGCCTAGCAGGCATAACACCTTAATAGTCACCTCACCAGAACTATGATGCTAAGAAAGCATTTTTAAGTTGATCAACCCCTAACCGATGCTTTGAATTTCAATCAGCACAATTAGCCTACTGCACAAGATATCTAATTTGGCATCTAAATAAATTCTCCCTTCTCTTCTTATTTAAATCTCTTTCAATTTCCTGAACCTCTCCAACCAACAAGCACCATAGTAAAATTCTATATACATCTTTCCCTCCTTATGTGTTGCTCAAGGATCCTCCACGTTCAGTATTCTTAACCACTCTTTAACGCACCATAGTCTCAAAACAATGGTGCTAAAGCATGCCTATCATGCAACTAGACCCAAACTAAAAGCCAAGTCGTAACAGCCTTCACGAAAATAAAACTCAGTCCAGGTATGCAAGTATTTGGCTATTTCTTTTCTTTAAAAAAAAAAAGGAAAAGAACATAGCATTTAAGACGGACAAAAAAGTGAACGAAAACTAACCTCAGAGATTGCACTATACTCTTTTGTTCAGTTAAATATCTCTGATTTTCTTTTATTGATTGTTCTAAATTCTTAATGGGCAGAAAAGCTCTACCAGACAACAATTCCTCAACCCTGCGCTTCACTTCTCCAAATGTCTGCTTAAATTGTGAAACTTTATTCTCAAACTGCTTGTGAGAGCTTTTGCAATTCTCCACTGTCTTACGCAAGTTCTCCTCCTTCACAAAATCCAGTAAGCATTTGCGAGAAGAAGTCTGTAACGCAGGATGAAGTTTGATGGATTTTAATTTCTCAGCATCCCTCACAAAATTCACTAAAAGATCAGAGTGCATCCGGTGTTGCTGTATGTAACGTTTCATGAAGTCCCCATAGTTTTGGTTAATCATTCTATAGAACTGATCCAAGTTACCTCTTGCAATCTCCAGTGCTCTCACTTGAACCATCTGTTCCCTCAAAAGCCTCTCACAATGATCGTATTTCAGTATGGTATGGCTGTAAATTGCTTGCCCCCGGTGGTAATGATATCTGAATTGCCTCTCGTACGAAGGTAAAGCCTTCAGAGCAGGGTCAGACGCATCATCCAGAGGGTGGGGATCACGAGAGGAGGATGGTAGTGAGGGCTCCAAATTATCATGGATATTCACTCGTTCTGATGGTGGAGGGGGTGAGTTGGTCTGAAGTCTAGCTTTATTGAATATGAACACTTCTCTGTCATCAGATGGAAGGTTATATGCAGATAGAGGCCTCTGTGATTCAAGCTTCGTATCCAGACAGAGAACAAGTTGATCATTGAGACTAATCCCTGTTTCTGATGCAATACGCCGCATGACGGCCTCAACAAGCGTGGTTTCATCACAGCTCAACTCATATGAGCGTCCATTCTCAGCAATATGAACTAGAAGCTTGCCTTCATAGACCAAGCTTCCAGTAACACTAGAACTCATGGCTGATTGTCAACTTGAACTGAAAGAACACCAAGCAATTTAGTCTAACCTTTTTAACGGATTCAGAGCTTGGTGAATTCCCAGATTATTGAATTCGCAAATAAGACCACCAATCGGCAGAGTGAAAGCACTTCACGATATATGAAATTTATATTATCAACCCAGAGCAAAATACTGCAATGATAGTTCCACTTCCAATATACCCAACAGAGATTTTCGTGGGAAAACACCAACCTTGGCCTTCGATCTTATCAAAACCCTAGATGAAATCAACCCCCAAAACGAAATGAGGCCCACCAGCAATGACGATGAGAGTGAAATTCCTTTTATCACCAGCCAACAATCAAAATGCCAAAAAGAGACCAAAGGTCACAGCCCCAAATAGAAGCTCCGCATCAATCCCAGATTAAGCCTCCACCACACCCCCACTCCATCACAAGAAACTGGAATTCAAGGAGGGAAAAAGCAAGAAGAGCAATATTAACCAAATTAACACGAGAATGATTTCGATCAAAAGCCAAGGTGGGAATCTTGAACGAAGCAGCGAGGATAATTCGAATTGGTTACGTGAAGATATTGATTTTCGAGTATCAACTCAGCACAAAGCTATCACGAAACCCGTCAATGATTTCTTATTATCGCTGCAATCGCCGCGGTATTTCTCTTTAACATATAAAATTTTTCCTTCCTCCCACTAAATATTCTTCTCCACCAAAATCCTTCTCTCTCTCTCTTTTTCCCCCTTCACAATCTTCTGCGAGAAGTAACACTAGAACGCGCTGATTGCAATTTGCAGGACTTCTAATCTCCTCTGTGACTCTCTCCTCTACCCTGATCGCCAGCTCTTCGAAATCAGTATAAATAAAAAACTAGAGACTGAAAGCCAATATGAAATATAAAAAAAATATAAAAAGCCAACGATAATCTGACTGATCTCGCTCCTGTGTTGATCCGTACGCGGGGAACATTTTGGAAAAATTATCATAAACTCCTACGTAAGAAATTTAAATTTTTTTACAAAATTATAATTATAAAACTATTCTAAAATCTTATATATTTTATTAAATTTGTTGATTATTGCTAATTCCAGTTGAAATTCTATTACAACTATATAATATTGGTTTAAAAACAACTACTATAGAATAATTAACAATTTTATTATAATAAATTGACAATTTCAATGAAAAATATATGAGACCTCAAAATTATTTTTTAATTTTATGAAATTTATATTTAGATTCCTAGTGAGGAATCTTAGAGTGATTTTCGCTGTATTATAATTGCATATGAATTTTTTGCAGTAATATGTTTTAATATTAAATAAAAAATAAAATAGAATGTGATAATTTTTTTATTACAGTAATGTGATAATTTAAAATCGTTTAAGCTTTAAAGTTTACTAGAGTTCCAAAATACAGTTACTAATCCTATTTCTACCCAAAAAAAAAAAAGTTTGGTTCGTACCTTATCCACGTTTCTGTATTATTTTTTATATTCATTCATAATATTTCTCGTATTATTGATATTAATGATTTTACTGTTATTTCATAAAAGCCAGAAAAGTTTGCGAAGACAAAACTAAAAAGAAATGCCAGCCAGTATATTGAAATTGTTTAAAGCCCAAAAAACAAAGTTTAAATTTGAATTATATTTTTTAACCAAACCACTTGATTGAATTATTTGTGTGTGTGTGTGTGTGTGTGTGTTTTTTTTTTTTTTTGCATGTTTACGCAATATGCATGTGTTTTTCCTATACTCACAGACTTGTTTTCCCAATCATGTGAAACCTTTTCAAGAATGAATACAAGGTTGTTCTTTTGCATGACAAAATTAAAATGAAAAGTGCATTGTGATATAAAATCTGAGTATTTACCATGGGGCGTGTGTGTGTTTCTATATGGAATATTTGTAATTTCGTTATCAAAAATAACTTTAATCACCAAAATAGAAACAATCTTTTCAAAAATCAACTGCTTGTAGCTAATTTTTAAATTTAAATTTTGATTCTAGGGAAAAAAATATTAAGTATATAAGTATAAGTTTTTTTTCCTCTAGAAAATTACATGGAAAAAAATGTCTTGAACTTGGATTGCTTAGTGAAATGTCAGATTTAATAATAAAGTCTGATGATATTAGCTTTAATTTACTTGCATGGTTGAAAATAATTTATAGATAAAATTAAAAAAAGTCTGTATGTGTAGTAATTCTCGTGCAGATCAATTACAGTTATGGAGATGAATAAAAGCTTCTCTTTATAATTTTCTATTTACAAGTGGGCTTATTAACTGCAGTTTCTCCAATCAAGTGATGTTACCATTAGACCATGTAATCTGATTTTTTTTTTTTTTTGGTTCACTTTCATTAATTTCTTCCTCTCTCTGTCTTTCAGAGTATAAACTATTTAAACCAATTTAAATATATTCTTAATGTGATAAATTATTTGATACTAACATTTCACCCAAGTTTTTTTTTTCCTTGTTGGCCAATCAACCAAGTTAATTTTCGTATAGTATTCAATCCACCAGCTAACCAAGTTAATTTTACTTTTATTTAATGGATAAATAGTAAATGATAAAATGTAATTAAATTTTGAAGTTAGAAAAAGAAACAAAAAATTTAACGTAGAATTTTTTTTTTGCTATAATGTTTAACACAGATTAAATTTGCTTAAATTTCAACGATAATCGTATGAACTTTCTCAATCATCATACCCAATCAAAAAACAGTTACATTTTGAAAGAATTATTTTCACGTCCCACTCAAGGTAACTAATTCTATTGATAACTAAGTTTAGGAAAATGACAATGCACCAAATTTAATAGATTTTTAATTTTATTCTTATTAAATATATACACACATATTTTAATAACATAACACACTTGCTCTTATTAGTATATTTAATTTAATAATAAGGGCAATCAAAAATATGTGTTGAAAAAAGAAAAAAATTATATATAGATCCTATGAAGCTTACTTATTTACAATTAAGCCTTGTGAAATTTAGGGACTATAATCAAGTTCCTTGAGATTTAAATATAATTTAAAATTGAAGTGCAATAAAAACATTGCCCCTCTTAAAAATATTGAAGTTATAGTTATAAAATATTGAAATGATAATTATAGATTAATAATGATATAGTTGTAACAATTGGTCTTAAATTTTATTAATAACAGATAATCGATTTAACTATTAAATATGTAAAGTTATAGTTATAAAATATTAAAATGATAGTTGTAAATTACTGATAAGATACTTACATATGATTAGTATTAGACTTATAATACATGATTAATTTAAATATTTGATATGTGAAGTTACACTTGTAAAAAGTTAAAATAATAGTTAAAAATTATTAATGAAATAGTTGTAAATTACTTGTTTGATTTTTAATAACAATATTATTGTTTTAATATCCTAATTTTAAATTATATTTAAATCTTAAAAGACTTGACTATAATTTTTAAATTTTATATAATTTATTTGTAAATAAATATACTCTATTAGATTTTCACTTAATTTTTCCCAAAAAAAACATTTAATAGCATAAGCCTCCTTGTTTGAAGAGATATTTATATTTATTACATAACTATCTTTTAAACAGGATTATCTTTAATACTTGCAAATAATAAAAAAAAATTGATAAGAATTTGGTGTGCAAGTTCCTAGAAACTTCATACCATGACAATAAGAATCTGAATCCAATCATTCAATTACACCAACCACGAAGGAGGAGAGAATTTTCCTGCAATGTTGCTTCCTCGCAAGTTAATAACAACTTGTTATTTTCACGCTTGCAATTAATAAATTGACTAGTGATTGATTAACGTACCTATTTCTAACGCGTGAATTAATTATAACAGTAACTTGTTTTTTCTTCAGGTCCTATTCGGGATATATGTATAAAATATAAAGAGAATTAGCATGTTGCGTAGGGGAAAAATTCCAAAGAGCAAAACAAATTATTTTCAAGCATTATATTACGTGTGTGCGTGTGGAAATTAATTTAGTAGAGCCATCGTTTTTGAACGAAGTTGTGGGAAAAAAAAAAAAAAACAAAGCTGGATGTGATGGCTTTAAAGTGAAGGCAATTTCATGGGAAGAGTCCTAAACAAAGTCAATCATATGAATGTAATGAGTGCGGACGAAGCAATTGAATATAGACAGTGAAGAATGAATCGCGTAACAATAAACCAAGAAACCAACCGAAAGCGATCAATAATAAAATGATACTATTTCCCAATATTTTATTTTGCACATGTCAGGTAAGAATATTAATATTAATGCTTACATATTATTAAAAATGTTATGATCGAACTTCGAAGCACTATAAAAACGTAAAAGAGTACTTACTCACGCATTGATCCAAATAAAAACCGTTATAATTGTTTACATACAAGCTTTAGATTGAAAGTTCATGTGAATGTGAAAATGCAGAAGAGCTAATCTCAATTAAAGCTAACAATGCTTGAACAGAGCTAACATGTCAATTTAAGAATAGTTTTTATAAACAAGCGCCCCTTGATTCTTAATATAAGCAAATTTTAGAAGCTTTTTTCTTTACAAAGGAAAGTTAGAGTAATTAATTTTTTTTTCAATTGTACTCTTTATATTTGTTTATTATAATTTGAATTCTTGAACAATAATTTATCATGATAATAAATGAGAAAATAATATTTAAATTTTAAAACAATGAATTAATGAGAGTTGGATTCTTAATAAAGTTTTCAAAAAAAAAGTTATAAATTCATGAATTCAGATATTTAAATTTTAAATATAACTATTTGCAATTTTTTAAATAAATATTTTTAATTTATTTTTTAATTTTTTTATCAAAAATCTAATTGTCATAAATTTTTCATTAAGAGATTTTACTGCCGTTCTCCCATAATTAATTGCAAAGAAGCATGCAAAAATGAAAAGTTATATATTTTTTAAATAATTTTGAGGATATAATTGTAATTATAATTTTTTAATAAATATGAAGTTGATTGAATTTACTTTATATTAAAAATCGATGGGGTAGGTAAAATTAACTTTTAATTATATTTTATTTCACAATGCGTAATGTCATTCCGTCAACTTAATATTATAGATCTATCGTTACATGATCCAAGAGAAAATGCAAGGAAAGAGGGATGGGTTTCCTGCGCGCCAAACATCTATTTAGATGATGGGACAATTAATAATTTAATATTCTTATTTATTTTCTACTTTAATTATTTAACTAATTACAAATTGATTTCACTTAGGTCTCATTTTCTTACTAAAAAAATAAAATAAATTAAAAAAATAAAAATAAAAATAAAATGATTAAAAGGGATATGTAAATATATTTATAAGGGAGAAAGTAATTTAATTCATAAATTTAAAAATTATTATTTATAATATTTTTGGAAGGTGTAATCATTTTTAAATTTAAAATATATGTTAATGAGTTTTATTATCCTTATCATATGAGAAAGAGTGATTTAGTTTATTTTAATTTTAATTTTAATTTTTTTAATTTATTTCGTTCTATTTATTTTTAATAACCAAACAGAACATTAGTTTTAAATTGATATTCATAAAATTTCCAGCTTATAATATTAGACTTTGCAAGAGAAAGAATAGATTGGAAATAAAACAATTACATTACACACGGAACTCCGTGGCTGCGGTTAATCTTGCTTCTGGGAAATTAATTAGGCGTGATTAATTAAGAATTAACAAGGTTTGAGAATGTCAACATCTGCTTGAAGCAGTTTCATATTTTGGATGTGACAAGAGACGCATCCAATGCGCCTGATCTATAGTTTAATAATCCAAACGCATGAGTCCAAAATAATGTCAATAGCACAATTAAAATGC